TTTTCACCCAATATTTTACATCTTTGATTATTGGTCCAAGTAATTATATTTTAAGAGTATACTTTTATTCCACATCTGAAGATTATATTTGGTTATAATATTATTTATATCATGATTTATTTGTAAAGCAGACAATTCTTTAAGGTTACAAATTCAAAAATTTAAAAATAAATCTTACTCCAATCTATTTATCATAATTATTCTTTATTTTTAAATATTTCTTCGACGAAAAAAGAAATAAACAAGGTATTATACATAAACAGTGTACCAAATATGTTATGTTTTAAAAAACAGGTAAATCTTAGGTGACATTCTCATTAACCTTGATTGTTATAAAAACAAATTATTTATCAAAACATCTATTGTCATTTGCATGTGGGAATAGAAGGAATAGTATTTTTAAAAAGTGGGCCGATAGGAGGAAGACACCTTTATGAGAACCTTTTATAATGTTTTAATACCCTTATCTTGGAATTAATTTATGTTTTGTAAACTGTTGCTTGAGCAGTCTTCCCCTAGCTCCCAAGCTATACACTTGTGAATAAATTTGTATATATTGTATACGGTCTTGCGTTTAAAGCAGCCACAGTGTCGATTATAGACCAACAGACTTTAATGTAACCCGTGCCGAAATTCACGGGGTTATATAGTCACTGAACCATGAAAATGAGGACAAGGACAATGGACATATGACAGACGGAAGCTTCATAACATAAGGCATCTATATTAAATACAAAGCATGGAGCATCTAGGTCTTCCACCTTCAACTTTGGAAATGTAAAGTTTTTAAGTAGTAAGTTAACGCCGCCGCCGGATCACTATCCCTATGTCGAGCTTTCTGCGACAAAAGTCGTAGGCTCGACAAAAATGAAATAAAGCTAGCATTATAACTTTCGGTTCCGTTATACCGATTGTCAAATTTTGACTAAGTGTGGATTTGCATGACGGGTGGTGCATACAAAGCGGAAGACGCTTATTCTGTCGACGCACCCGTCTCGCTCATTTTGAAGTTCTTGTGATTCCCTCAGTTTTTGTTTCTTGCCTTGATTTGTCTCTTCTAAATCGAGTTACGAGATTTGAACATCGGTAAACGATTGTCGCATTAACATATAGATGTTGTCCTGTCACTAAATAATTCGAAGATTGGTGACTATGTTGAACGCATCTGTTCCATCGAACTTGAAAAAGGGATACCAAAGATAGTTAAGTCTGCCTCATACTTTGACTTTAATCTAAAAATTGACATTGAATTTCACTGATTTTTTACTTTCCATGTGTAAAATGACGAATGTCACATGTGGAGCATGATGGATGTCCGTGTTTACGTCCACAATTACGGTTTTGGTGTGCAGTGTATCTTTAGAAGTTTACCATGTGCTATCAGAAAAAGATCATATACCTCATATAATTTTCAAGTCTCTTTTCAACGTTTAATATTAAAATTTTGTTTCAAGAAACTTTAAGGTTAAGAATGATAAAACTTTGTGTATGGGTACATCTATGGGAGTATAAATAATAGGTCATACCCACGGAGGAATGAACAGGAGTGGACACGCTCAATTGCATGACCAATGAACCATGAAAAGGGTTTAAAAGTCAGGTGACTTCAGTCAGACAGACATGTATACCGTACAGTGATTCTATGAAACAAAGAGTGCTGAACTTCTCTTTAAGTGACGGAGAAACTGACCTTAGCAGGAAAACTTAACGTTAACTATTAAATAATAATAGCATGGTCATGTCAGGCTGGGTCTATTATACTAATTCAGACAGAAATGCATATCTTGAAACGTTTCTATAGGCCATAATATAATTAGATAAGTAGAGTTTAGTTGAATCCTCATGTTAATGTGAAAGCATCAGGGATAATATTAGGCTCATGCAAAATGTAATTTATTCTGTCAGTTTGCAGGATGACATTTCATCCTACTCGGACACATTATTTTGATAAAGGTCCGAGCAATCTTTAAAAGACTCTAAAAGGTCTGATCCTTGGCGGAGGAGCAAAGAATCAAGTCCCGGTACTATCAGGCGTCCCCCAAGGCACAGTTCTTGGACCTCTATTGTTTCTAACCTACATAAATGACATGCCAGAAACATCAACGTCATCTGAAACAAAACTTTTTGCAGACGATAGCCTACTTTTTAGAACAATAAACAACCAGGCAGACAGCGACCTTTTGCAAAAAGACTTAACATCATTGGAAGAATGGGAGAATAAATGGCAAATGAGTTTTAACGCCAAAAAATGCATAGTTATCAGAATAACGCAGAAGAACAAAGAAGTGAGAGATACATCATATAAACTCCACGGACACACACTAGACAATGTTGATGCAAGCAAATACTTAGGCGTAACTATCAGCAACAACCTATCCTGGGATAGACACATTGATAATATTGTAGGCAAAGGAAATAAAACATTGGGATTTATCCGAAGAAATCTGAAAGACTGCACAAAACCAGTAAAAGCAGCAGCATATACAGCCATGGTAAGACCTTCAGTGGAATATGCCTGCACAGTTTGGGATCCATCGAGCCAAAAAAAGATCAAATCATTAGAACAAGTTCAAAAAAGAGCAGCAAGATTTGTTCATAATAACTACTCAGACCGAACACCTGGCTGTGTAACACACATGGTTAAACAATTACAGTGGGAAAGCCTGGAAGAACGTAGGAAAACCAACAGACTATGTATGCTATTTAAAATCCAGCACGGGCTAATCGATATAGATAGACAACAATATCTAATACCCAACGACAGTCGGACCAGAGGTATAGGCCGCTTCTACCAAGAGAGAACAAAAACCGACACCTATGGACAGTCATTCTTCCCAAAGACCATCAGGGATTGGAATCAACTTCCAGCTAAAACAACATCGACTGACTCGATAGAGGGATTCAGAGCTGCTCTGAAAGCAGGATCTGGAAGGAAGTAAACAGCATAGCGTGTACATAATTTTAATTGTAAATTGGCGAACGTTTTAAATGTAAATAACCTTGAGAAGACTTGTTGCCTTGCCCGGCACTGCGCTAAGTTTTCGCGGGACCATACACATTCAAAATGAATTCGGTTCCTTACTTGGAAGAAGAAGAAGAAGAGAATACAAGCCAAGTTTTGAAGTTTCTGGTTCACCCCAGATGATGAACAAACCATGATATACTGCACTCAAGCTAGGCACGCTAATACCACACCATCAAAGGAGTCTGAAAATTTGAACTGACAAAAAATTAAAGCCTTAGAATGATCTAGAATGTGACAACACAGTGACGGGGGATAGACAAAGATATTGATGATAAGAACAAAAACATTATGCCCTTTGCAACTTCTTTGCATAGGGGTACAATCTGGATGGTTCTGAAAATTGCACTGATCCTGTTAAAAGACGGGCTTTAAATGGAATGGGCTTAGATCTAGTCCTGGTGACTGCCAACCCCTGAAGGTACCATCCAAAATACAGCCAGGCCCTTTCCTAAATAAGATGTTAGTGAATTTCCATTTATAAATCATGCAATTAGACAAAAAAACTTAATAAGGTTGTGACTGCCTCAGGTAAAGCTGACATTAGATAAATCGATCTACCCTATTAAGACAATTTTTTTCTATAGATGTTTTATACATTTTGCCATCCAAACTTTGGTCACAAGTATTCTTGATTATGGTTATTCCAACAACACATGTCGTTAGCACTACTGAGGCAGCATCATACATTTATATTAAAGAGATTTTTGGGCACCAAAATGCAGCTGATGACCGGTTATCAATTACAGTAGTTTAGAAACTAACTTATTTATTATAACAATAATGTTAATGAGACAACATGAAAATGCATCAATTAAATAAATTAAATGCTAGAAGGAAGCAATAGCAACTGGGAAAAGTGTATCCTCTGGGACTGAAAGTGCACAAGCAGTGGTAATGAACCAGTTGAAATAAAAAACAAATGATATAATTTGGGTGTATACCGAATCATAAGGAGTCAAGGTCAGGTGACAGACGGATATGTTACCATTACAATCATTCTATACACTGAATATAGGTGACAAATGCACAAACCATTTGTATAAAGCTTCATATATTTCAGAAGGTAGCAGAGCTGGAAAACTACTTATAGTAGTAGAGCAATTTACCTAATCATGAAAACTTAACATTGACAACTGAACCATACAATGAGGTAAATCATCTATATATATTATTCATATAGAGGGGTCTTTTCAAAGTGACTTTTCAAGCTAAGTTTGGTAAAAGCTTAAATACAGTTTAAAAGGTATCCAGAAACCAAAATGTTGTCCCTAATTTAGTCCATCAGATAGCTGTTGTGACTTTTAACTCTGTCCTAGTAATTTCAAAAATCAATAAGGGTCTTTCCAATTGAAATTATCAAACAAAGTTTTGTAATGATTTTATGTACGCTTTAAAAAATATTATTTGAAAACTAAAATTTTCTCCTTTTATCAGTCTTTTAATCGTCGCTGTGGCCTTGACCTTTGACCCAATGACCTTGAAATCAACACAGGTCTATTTCACTCAAAAGATACATTATCCTCTTAAGACTGGTGAAGATCTGATTCATGGCTCTAAAGATATCATCCAGAACCTTGACCTCAACCTTTGAAATTCTGACCCAATAATCAATAGGGATCTAGTTCTTTCTAAAGAAAATTTTTCAACTTGTTTTTTGGGAAAGTTGGACAAAAGAGATCATCTGAAAACTATAACCTGGCCTCGAAATCAGCCTTATTAATTGCTTCTGTGGATTTGCCCTATGGCCTATGATCTTCAATTAAATAAAAAAAGGGATATTCTTGACCCCATATGGCATATTAAACAAAGTTTGGTAAGTATATTGTTATTGGCTCAAATTTTTTTGTCCAGAAACTGAATTGTTTATATACCAACAGCTGGACAGCATTCAACAATTTATGGTTTGAAAGTATTTGTCTGGAAACTAAATTGTTTACATACAGTATGTGGACATCATTCATCAAATTAAACTATGTTGCAACTCTGCTTATAATGTATTACTCATACCATATACACAATTCAATAGTTTTCACAAAGATCCATTTAAGAAATGCATGAATGCCAATGTTACATCACACTTAATTATAATGGCCTATCAAAAGTACCTTTTTCAGAATTATCCTCTTTTTAGAAATTGTTACAAATATTGTTGATGCTATTATTGGCATTGTTGTAATATATAAAATATGAAATATGTCAATACATTTATCTATTTCATCTTAACTACATGTGGTGCTAACATTTCAGGGTCTATTAATGATTTTTCTAAAGGAGTTTCAAAGTTATATTCATGAGTCTGTTGGCGACGTGGCAATCCACGTTTACTCCTTTGAGGTATTGGTAATTCTGAATGGTGAGCTGGGAGAGGTTCGGTGAAAAAATAGGGATGTAATAAAGCGTCTTTTGCAGATATGCGTTGTTTGGATGGATACACTAAGACTTTTTTCAGCAGATCTAACGCCTCAGGTGAAGCATCAGGTACTATTTCTTCAAATGGTATGGGTTTGTTTTCTGGGAAGGTTATTTTGTTGTAATCTGGCAATTCAGAGATTCCCTGAAATTAGCAAAATCAATGTGTAACATAAAAGATGTTCCTTTTCAAAGTTTTATTCATTCTTTGTACATAAAAAAGAATCTTTGCCATGCTCTTTTTCTACTTCACTTCAATTATATGGACACAAGAAGCATGCAATCGGAACAAAAAATGGGTCTATAAATAACACTTAGTATTGTCTGTTGTTAGTCTTAAATATTGCTCAGCATAGTATGATGTTAATCATAAACTGCATCTTTACACTAAATAATCTTTTTTGTAATGTTTATATACATTGATACGCTAGTTCAATATGATAATATATGACTTTTGAGGCAACTTAATGTAATATTTTCACATTTTCAAAAGCATAAGATATATCCTATTCTCTTATGGCTGTTGCCTGTTATCTATTTCCCACATGAAGAAATATTTCTTGCATCACACTGAACAGAGCGTAAATGAATAGGTGAAAAATGTATTAATTTGGTTGGCCTATCCTGCAATGCGATACGAAATTGCGACATTTACATTTGCTATTGCTCATGTCAATGATGGCTTTCAAAGGTCTGTTTTTTTTTCTCTGTGGCAACGGATATATGTGATTTTTTCAATGATACACAAAACACTCACATTTTTTACCTTAAATAGCTTTGGTTAAATTTGATTCCATTCTGTTGCATACAAAAAGCTTTAAAAGTCTGATATAAATGTTCCGACGCCAGAAGCAGACCTATGACACCAACTGTTTAAATGCCACAGGGCAAGAACAACTTTTCACAGAATTTTCTCTTAAAACAAAGAGAAAATTTATTTTTTTAATTAAATCTTCTGAACTAAAGAGGATCTACTGAGTGTCTGAGACATGAATTTCTTAAGTTATTTCAAATATCTCATGAGTTTGTTGTCACATTTAAATCACAATAATTAAACTTGTATGTATGTAGATAGTCTAACAATCGCAATAATAATTATATTTATACATTATAGCCTCACAGATGAGTCTTTCGTAGACAAAACGCACCTCTGGTGTTCAAATTTATAAGTCTGGTATCTTTGATGAGATTTTTTGTATATTAACCCAAATGATTTTTTGGGGTTATTTCAAGTATATGAGTTGGTTGTCTCATTAATATCAACCCAAATACCCTTAATCACATATTTAACAGTAACAAACAATAAACATGGGAAAATAATACCACCTACAGGCCATATCTTTTCATTGGGTGTTCCTAGCACTCTTAAAACACAACATAACTGTTCAATGTCATTTTCTCCCTGAAATATATTAATGTTATTGAGAGAAATTGAAATTTCATTTGAAGACATTATGCTTGAAATAAATATTGATTCACATGCCAAAGATCACAGCAACTTAAATGGCCTATGCAATACTTTACCTTACAAAAGATGAATAGTTATATTCAGTTTTTACTGACACTGTAAATATGGATTTTTTATTATACAGCTATTTTTTAATAAATAAAAAAAAAAATACAAACACTTAGTCATGAATAAATATGAAGAAACAGGAGATTTTTTTTATAATGATAATGTCTGATTACTGACACAGATACATACAACATTCTGACAGAAACAAAGCTGATGTTTCATATAAAATTAGTCAACAAAAAATTTGCATAATTGCAAAAATGACAAATACATTAATCATGTTATAAAAAAATGTGACATATATAAGACTGACATGAGCAACACACAAGGGAGGCACCTACCAAATACAGCTGACTTCCATGTATGAATCATATCAGTCTTGGCAGGTAAAATGATATGGCACCAAAAATAAAACCTTTTTTCTGATGTTTGATGACTATATTACAAGTAAAACAAAAATCAGAGTACCTTCTAAACAGTAGTATACTTACAGGAAACAATGGAGAGTTGTTTAGTAGCTCACCAAATATACAACCAACTGCCCTAAAAATGCACAAATTGTCTTATTAACTTGATAAACATACTTATTTAAAATTTATTCATTTTCTCTTAATGTTGTATACAAAATTTAGTTGTATTGGGAAACTCATTGATTGGATGATACATATTTAGAAACATTGATAGCAATAAGTAATTTGCAATTTTTTTCAATAATAAAAACATTGCAAAAAATTTCTGAAGTAACAGTATGTAGTTATGCATTCAAAATCAAAATTTTAGCATTAGCAAATAAGTTGTAAACTTTGCTTCTTTTAGTAATTTTATGTTAAAGATGAAATCTGTTTAAATTCATTAAAAGTATGTGTATATAAATTTATCCAAAAAATTAATTTTCGTGAACAAAATAAAATATAATTGACTTTATAACTAACCACAAATCTACTCCTTCATCATATTTTCTAGCTCCATATAGCAATTCTGGGGCTCTGTACCATCTACAAAGAAGGTTTGATGTTTAACTCATGTCTTAGAATCTTAATTCTGATACACAAATAAGTGAAGTTACCCAACCAATGAACATATGAGTGATAATGTGTCAAATTAAGCCTTTGATTAGCTATATATATATCTTTATTCTCAATTAACCATCATTTTGACAAGGTATAGAGAAATATATATGTACAATATCTAATAAAATACAATTAGCACAAGACATTTTATCAACAATAATAGGGGTGTCTTCACATTTAGATTAAGCCTGGAGTACACACAGATTTATTTATGATTTTGATAAATTTCAAAAGTTTAATAAGCTCTGTTTTCTTTTTTGATGACATCAATAATTTATACTTTAAGATGTTTGGTTTGGTGTAACTATATTTTGTATGTTAATGTTTCTCTCCAAGCCAAGCATCAATGTAAATTAAGGAAATTTGGTAGGAATTTCTTGTTTAGGTACTTTTCATATTTTGTCCATGTCACAAAATAGAGGGGAGAAGTAGAATGACCAGAAATGTTAAAATATCAGTGCTAATCAACTTCATTTCTTGTTAAACTTTTTTATGAAATTTATATCAAAGGGTTTATATCAGGAATGTCTTGGAAGTGTTAAAAATCAATGCTTATCAACAATTTTTACAGGAGTTGTGTTATTTTTAAATGTAAATTATATGGAAAATTGAATTGTAAGCACTCTCACTCTTACATTTCTTGTCAGATTTATATGACATTTTTATCAAAGGTTTAAATAAAAAAAGTCTTGAAAGATTTGATAATTAGTGCTGATCAAATATTTTTACAGGAGTTATGGCCCTTGCAAAATAGATTTCTATCGTAAACTGTATTGTAAGTGCTCTCATGTCTACATTTCTTGTAGGATATTAATGAAAAAGTTTAAAAAGTTGAGTTATTGCCCTTAGATAGATAAACATGTGCAGGGCCGGGGGATATTTGAAGGTTGATTTATTATTTTTTTGCATTTACAGTAAAATAATTGTTCATTAACTAAATGGGGTCATTATTTGACTCTTCAAATAACAGTCTTTAAAGAAATCTATAGAGAAAATCTCTAGGCTACATGTTTCTAATGTTAACCTTGTAGCTACTTGGTGGCTATACTGTCTATTCCCTTCATTCTGAAACACCCTGGCAAGACCAAAGTCTGCAATCTTTAGATGACCTGTTGAACTAATCAACAGATTAGCTGGTTTTAAGTCCTGAAATTTAGATTAATGAGATTTACATATATTATTGGAATATCATTTTACAGTGGTTGCTACTGGTGATATATTCATATTCAGTCTATTGCTCAATTAATCTCTACCTTTTATGATTTGTACCTGAGAAATCTTAAAATGTATACAGGTAAATGGGACATGCACTGACTTATAAATAAATTCACATTACTAAACAGATATAAATGTAGATTCCTATTAAGGATGATTAATTAATAAAAGACAGGGCTCATTGTGGTAAAATTTTATTATGGAAAAATGTTAAAACTGCTAGTAATATGAATCTGACCAGCTTAGTTTACCTGCCATTTTGATGGCTAATGATGTAACTGACAATGAAGATGTTAATCAAGGCATTTTCATATAAATTTTTATCTTTAATTAACTTATCTGTAATGCAATCAACACCATCCAATGAAACAACTTTAAATTAAGTATTACAGAGTACTTGAAAGCAAAATCAGTATTTTTCAAAGATCCAAACTTTATTTTTGTAAGAGTTTTGATAAGATTAATAAGATTCTTTTAGTCTTAAGACAACAACATTTTTCTTAAATGTTACTTTAATCAATTGGAAACAATGTGATGATAGGAAGAACCTAACTAGACTTTGCATTTATATATTCCATTTTATTCAAATTAAAATGAAGAACTTACTCTGTGCATTATATTGTTTTCATGGCAGAAAGCGACTCCTTTTAAAAGCATCAGCATGTATGATTTGACCTGTGCCTCTGTTATAGGTTTTTCTGAGTTCCGTACAACTTCAGATAAATCTGACAGCATATATTCAAAGACTAAAACCAGACTACTGCCATGAGGGAAAACTTCACGTAACTTTACCACCTGCAAAATAATGTTGGTGTTATTCAAGAAATTATATTTCAAACATTTTGTAAGCAGAAATATAACTCAATTTCGGATATATGTAGGATCCTTCAAACAAGCTTGACAAGCTTACTTTCTTAACTGCAAAGCCCTTCATAAAGAGGGTAATGATTAGAGCTACCCACAGAATTATCTCCCTTTGTCATATTTCTGTTTTCTCATATTAGTACTAGTACAAATGTATTGTGTACTTTTCATTTATGGACACAACTTTAGATTTTAATGTTATATATTTATTGTTGAAATTTCCAACCAGATCCCTCAGGAGGATGGGTTAGATGTCTAATGTGGTACATCTTTCTAGGGGGAAATATATGATCATTTGCTAATAATGAAGAACCATTCTAAATACAAGAATGTTTTCTTTTTCATAGACCAAAATTTCCTTATTTTTTTCAAGAGTAGTAAAATATACCTGTGGTATATAGACACCTGAGCAGGTTTTCCTGAATGGATTTAAACCTGAAACAAATGTCTGCTTTTTAAAGCATAATAATGACATTTAATGGAATTTTAAGCTTACAATACTTGGTTGAACAAGTGCAATGATAATTCATGAAGAGCATATGCAGTTAACATCAAAATTGATACCCATCGGAGCATCTTATTCATTCTGCATCCATTAATGCATTTTGCTTGTTTGTTAATGATACCTGATCAATGTTGGGCCAATGACATAATAAATTATGTAAAACAAAACTTGCGACACAAACCAATTTGTTTTTAGCAAAAGCAAAATCAGAATCAGAATTAAAAGTTGTCATGTCAGGTCTGCCTAGCTGAAATATGAGGACATAATAATATTTTAGCCACAGGTCAGACTTCAAAATGACCAAAACAAGTAAAGGCAAGATTAAATGTTTTCACCAACATGTCAGACTGTCTGTCTCAGTATAATGTAATGGCATGGAATCTCAAAATATGTTGAATTTGAAAATAAACCTTTTCTCTTTAACATAAGTTACACAATTGCTATGTACCGACTGTGCGACACCCTCATGGGTAGTCAAGGTCGTTAAACACCCCCTAGTAGTATTTTTATGTTTTATGCATAAAGTTTATGGATTTAAAGTACTCTTGGTTAAATTTTCACAAATGTACTTCCCCCTGGATCCTTTATGGTAGTTATGGTATTTGACAATGAAAATCAATAGATAATTTAGTGCTTCGGTACTGACATGATCATCATATATAATAATAACCGGTACAATTTTTTCTTAAATTCTCTCTTAATGAAATTGTAAACTAAGAGGCAAAGCAACCTTAGATGAATTTTTGCTATTGTTTTTATTTTCCTTTTGATCATATAGCTCCCAATGCTTTCAGGTCTTATACATCTGTGGCTTCAAGTTTTGGGGTTTTCACCCAAAGGATGCCTGTGGCCAAGTTTAGTTTATATTAGACTGGTGGTCTCAGTTTAGATTATTATTTGAAGAATATTTACGAAGATGATCACAGACTCCAAGTGATAGCAATAGCTCACATGGACCTGCACTGGTTCAAGTGAGCTAATAATTATAGATTATCATTGGTTATCACAACGAGATTGATTTTATCGCTTGAGCCGGTACGGCGAAAGCGAGAAAAGCAATCGAGTTGAGATGACCAATGATAATCTGTTTATCGCTATTTTACCTATGAAGACGTTGTTAATTTCCTTGACAACGGCACATGTTCCCTTAGTTTCTAGCAATAATTTTCATATCACTCGACTCCGCTGAGAACGGAAATTATCAGTCAGCAAGATCAAAGGAAAAATTCGTAAAATAGCGATAATAAAAAATATATAGGAAAACGAAATTAACGAATATCTTACAAGTTATCAAACTCCAAAGGTTTGTTTGAAATTTTCTAAAAGATCTTACTTACATATGGATTATCCTCTATTTCTTGTAAAGCTTTAATCTCCCTAAAAGATTTAAACATATTTGGTCAATGAGTCAGAAAAAGAGAAATGATCAAATACAAAGCTATTGGAAAAACCCTTATGTTGAATGATTTTTTTTTTAAATACTGAAATTCAAAGTTCTCATAACAAATACAATACTGAAATACTTTAAGGGGTCAAACACTTAGGGGGAAATCAAAATATATTGAGGGTTAGAAGTTGAAAAGAGTTGAGGTGTTTATGTCAGCAACAGTATTCTCGCTACCAACATATAAAGCTCATAAATCCTGAACAACTAAAGCCTTCATAGTTTTGTTATTAGAAATGCATATTGAATTTCTGTTGAATTTACTGCTAAAAGATTCTCAATACAAAGATGGTATGAAAACATTTAAATAATTTTAATATAATTGTTATCAATCATATCATATACGAAAAAATCAAGACATCAAAATATGGTATACTGCATTTCTCTCAATATTTTCATAAGCTTATAAAAACAAAACATTAATATATTCTATTCTAAAATGTAATACATAACACATAAGTACCTAAGTGCTGTATTTGGAATACCATCCTCAAGTTTTCTGAGCGGAACTTTCTTCAAGGCAACAACTTCACCACTCTGTAAAATGTACATGTACACCACATATAACAATATCACCCAAATTCAATTAATTATTACTAAAATTTTAAAAGTTCAATGAATGAAATGAATACACAATCATAATGTAAAAATGTAACAATGTTTTGAATGCTTATCATTTTAGTTTTATATTTTTGTCAATCAGTGTATGACCTGTCAATATAACATCAGACATGGGACAGAATTGTCTTAGGTCACATCTGGTTATTTAAAAATTTTCAGCTGGAGTTTTGGCATCATAACTGGAGATTTTCAATCAACATTTTGTCAATGTTTTTCTGTGTTCATTTTGATTGTATAAAAACTAAATATTTCCCATCAAAAAGATAAATGTAGAACTGTTGCATTTGTCATATTAAAAATCATGATTGCATAGCTTTGAACTCATTTGGACTTGAAAAGAAAATGGAAGACAAAAACAAGTTTTCAAACATCTGTTTATGATAAATGATAAGTTTTAAAAAGTTTAATTGACATGTGCACTGGTTAGTATTCACTATCTTGTCCATTTATTAAGTGAAATTCATTTGGTTGTAAAAACTGCAACTAGTGTATACCAGATTAATATTAACTTTCCTTGGAGTGCTAAGTTAAGCAATTACAGTCCAGAAAGTTTATATTAAGCATAACTGAGTTGGTTCTGCGCTTAATTCTGACAGTGGATATAAGCATATTATAAATTAAAATTCAAGCATTTTAAGAAGTGTAGATGTTTAAAAGAATTTTCAATATGTATATTTTTTGGTTTGTCATAAGAAAGTTAAAAATCATTTAAAGAACATTCTTACATGTATATAACTTTACATTTAATTTTCTTTTTAATTTATATTCTTATCAATTAACATTATTTTAAGGAGTAGAGTTTGATTCCCCCTGGAAGAATCAATTATGTATGTACATGTAACACAATACCATAAACAAACCTCTATGTGTTTGGCTTTAAGGACAATGCCATGAGCACCTTCACCTATCCTTCCTAATATTGTGTACTGTTCCATTATCAATCTACGAAGATAATTTTATGTACAGAATGTTAAATTTAACATGGTCTAATAATTTGATTATGCTTACATGGCTGAGCCTCCCCCCCCCCCCCCCCCCCCCCTCAAGAAAAATCTGTAATATGCCATTTAAATATACATTATGGGCATTTCTTTTACAAATTTCAATATATTTAATGTCAACATATTTCTGATATGTTTCTCAATAGCTATCAACAAACAAATCTCATGTTAAACAGATTATGCATGTCATGACTTAGTTGATGGTTTAAAGAGAATTGCCATTAATGCTCTATCCTATTTGAGCCAAGTACAAATAACTGCATTACCAATTATGGATACTGAATCTTGAACATGAATTACAGAGCTGACTGTGTTATAAGTATTATTGTTCAACAAAAGGAATTGAAAAATATGGCCGTGTTTACGCCACAAAATCTACTACATGTATGAGTACAGACAAACTGATGCATCTAGGAAAGTTTTAAGGCATGGCAGGACCTAGATATATAAAAGTTATATGTAGTCTATGTTTCAGAAAATTAAAACTTACCTGGATTTAGATGTGAATTTTTTCCAGTCTGCAGAAGATAGCAAAATAAAACTAGAGGCTCTCAAGAGCCTGTGTCGCTCACCTGACTCTACTTTGGTTTTAGAAATCATGTAAAGATAGATAAAAATCATAACAGATACCCAAATAATGATTGAGGCCAAATTTTGATTAATATTGGTCCCGTTATTTAATAAAATATCCTGGTGGCCATCTTGAACAGTAAATCGGCAACAAAGTAGCAACACTTGGTCAGCACTTCATAAGGAACATTCATGCCATGTTTGGATTCATTCCATTCAGTGGTACTCTAAAAGAAGACATTTGTATGTATTTCCCATAGGGTCCTATGTTAAACTAAGCCCCCCCCCCCCCCTAGCGGCCATCTTGGATGATGGATCGACTGCAAAGTAACAACACTTGGTCAGCAACTCATAAGGAACATTCATGCCATGTTTGGTTCAATTCCATTCAGTGGTTCTCTAAAAGAAGACAATTGTATGTATTTCCCATAGGGTCCTATGTTAAACTAAGTCCCCCGCTGTCGGCCATCTTGGATGATGGATCGGCTGCAAAGTAACAACACTTGGTCAACATCTCATAAGGAACATTCATGCCATGTTTGGTTCCATTCCATTTATTGGTTCTCTAAAAGAAGACATTTGTATGTATTTTCCATAGGGTCCTATGTTCAACTAAGTCCCCCGCTGGCGGCCATCTTGGATGATGGATCGGCTACAAAGTAACAACACTTGGTCAGAACCTCATAAGGAACATTCATGCCATGTTTGGTTTCATTCCATTCAGTGGTTCTCTAAAAGAAGACATTTGTATGTATTTCCCATGGGGTCCTATGTTAAACTAAGTCCCCCGCTGGCGGCCATCTTGGATGATGGACCGACTGCAAAGTAACAACACATGGTCAACACCTCATAAGGAACATTCATGCCATGTTTGGTTTTATTCCATTCAGTGGTTCTCTAAAAGAAGACATTTTTATGTATTTCCCATAGGGTCCTATGTTAAACTAAGCCCCCCGCTGGCGGCCATCTTGGATGATGGATCGGCTACAAAGTAACAACACTTGGTCAGCACCTCATAAGGAACATTCATGCCATGTTTGGTTTCATTCCATTCAGTGGTTCTCTAAAAGAAGACATTTGTATGCATTTCCCATAGGGTCCTATGTTAAACTAAGTCCCACGCTGGCGGCCATCTTGGATGATGGATCGGCTACAAAGTAACAACACTTGGTCAACACCTCATAAGGAACATTCATGCCATGTTTGGTTTTATTCCATTCAGTGGTTCTCTAAAAGAAGTCATTTGTATGCATTTCCCATAGGGTCCTATGTTAAACTAAGTCCCACGCTGGCGGCCATCTTGGATGATGGATCGGCTACAAAGTAACAACACTTGGTGAGCACCTCATAAGGAACATTCATGCCATGTTTGGTTTTATTCCATTCAGTGGTTCTCTAAAAGAAGTCATTTGTATGCATTTCCCATAGGGTCCTATGTTAAACTAAGTCCCTCGCTGGCGGCCATCTTGGATGATGGATCGGCTACAAAGTAACAACACTTGGTCAGCACCTCATAAGGAACATTCATGCCATGTTTGGTTTCATTCCATTCAGTGGTTCTCTAGAAGAAGTTCAAAATGTAAAAAGTTAACGCCGACGACGGACGACGCCGGACGACGGACGCCAAGTGATGAGAAAAGCTCACTTGGCCCTTCGGGCCAGGTGAGCTAAAAACACATGATTTTTTGTCATTTGATACGATTCACTCAGTTACAGAGTTGAAACCACCTATTGTTTGCAGATGTCTATTGTCCATTTAAATCAATACTACTCACAACATTTATTTTATGAGGGGAGCTTCTCAAACCTCTTTCCCAACTTAGTTTATATTGATACCTTCTGCAGGAATGAAAAAAAATGAATAGCAAAATCCAGAAAAGTTTATAATTTTCTGAAACATTAAATGCATTTGAAATTTAATTATCTAATTGCTGCCATGCCTTAAACTTTTCCAGGTGCACAGGTTTGTCTGTACTCAGAGAAAAAATTGTGGTGTAAATACAGCCATATTAGGGAGCAACTATTTAACCTCAAGGAGGGGGGAGGGTTATGGTTTTTTGTCTGAGTCAGAAAATTGTTTTCGTGCAAAGCGCGAACATTTTGTTTTGTTTTTTGATGCTATCAATCAAATTACTTTTTCAAAATTTAATACTATATCATCGATGATTGCAAGTTTGTTATGCTTGCAAGTTCAAGACATTTGGGGATTTCCACTTTATTCATGACGTCATGCAAAAGTATTTATCATCGGCAATGTGCTACTTTAAAAAAACTTAACCGAATATTTTTCATTGCATTTTCACTAATATCGGCTAGAAAAAGAGAAGTTGTGTATATTCTAGCATATTATTTGTTTAAACGTCTATTTCCACTACTACTGTTCTATTCCACCTAGAATTTCATTGAATTCTTGGGAAATCCTTTCAGCAATGTTATTGACATCGCAACAGTGAGTCATCATCTATTTTTAGGTTATGTGGCCTCTTTTTCCTTTTTTTCAAGGCCAAGAGTATTATTTTTTAAAGTCCGTATGTGAGCGGATTTTTTAAGATCAGAAAATGATTTGATATATTTTTATAAAATAAAACCTGCCGAATATTGGCTCGTAAAAGTAATTTAATCCTATGCCAATGAATACAAATTGAATGCAAAAATACTTTGATGCATTAATGACATTGTGACATCGTTATAGTTATCTTAAACATGTTTAAAGTGTTTAAATCTGGACTTTCCAATTGACCATTGAAAGTCGCATGTAAAAATTTGAATAATTTTTGTAGGGAGAATAAAAAGTATGTCCCAATTTCTCTTTTTTTCTCTCGAGATATTCATTTGTTATTTGATCTCAAATTTATTCTGTAATGTTCAAAAATATAATACAATAGGCCTAACCTATATATTGTTGCACATGCGCAAAAGCCACCGTCCCAGACAATGGACACGAACTTACAAGCATGTCTACTTATTTTATGGAATCGGGCCACAATACGAAACATAGACAGATTGACCATGTTTCTGAAACTATCCATCAATTAAATGTATCAGACTGTTTGCAAATAAGTAAAGAATAATTAAACCAAAGTGGATAATATTTGCCCCAAGGTTGTGATCTGGATTCAGAATATTTTTGTTTGTCATCTGCTTGATCACAATATTTTTTTTCGTCAAATTGGGGATCAGAATATTTATTTTAGGAAAAAACCACAACCCTCCCCCCCCCCCCCCCCAACCCCTTGAAGTTAAATGATCGTTCTCTTAGCCAAAAGGTTATGATGAACCTAATATGTATGTGACTGTGAGGAAATATGTAAATAGAATCTACCAGTATATGACCCCTTGACTGTGGCAGTGGTATGAAAATGCTGCTAAAATGTTTAACAACAATAAGATTCAATCTTTCAGGAAATTTTAGGTACACTCCTGCTTTATGGCATGCCTTTTAGGTCGAATAATTTATAAAAAATACTTTGTTGTTGTCAGGAAAGCATTTTTGGTCTAAATATGTTTTCTTTCGAGAAGAACGGAGACAAAGGGACATAACTAACAAGGTATATTATTGTTTAGTGTTCGTTCGTCCCAGACCATTTCGCACCTTCGATATTATTAAACAAACAATAAGAAAAAAAATCTTCTTGTGGTCAATAAACCTATATCATATTAGAAAACAAAATTATGACATTGAAAGGAAAATTTTCAAGATGATAAACAAACTAGATAGGAACGATTAAGTGGATAAACATTAAACAATAAACTATTAGTGAAACATTAAACATATTTTATTTCCCGAAATCGGAGCCCTTGTGGGGCATACAGATAGATACATGTTATGAGAATAGAATGATCCAAATAGAGATAGCAATAATATAAACTATTTTCTGACATATGCTATTTTAGTAGTTATATTAAAAGATAGGACAGTTTAAATCTTTTGTATGATGTTATAATACAAAATGTTTACAGAAATAATATGTAAACATATATTTAAAGAATGTCCTTGTTTCTTATTTCATAATTAGTTTGCAGAAATTTGCAAGTATACATAAAATGGTTTTGTCTTCATTATTTAAAAGCTAATAAAATGTTTGCCAATTGTTTAACAATAAATAGTATGACATAATTGAACAATTTTATTTGTCATTTGTTGACGTTCATTGGCATCATAGAGTGGACATTCGAGCATAACATGTTGTTCATTCTCAACTTCCGATAATGTACAATGAGTGCATAATCTATCTCCCCTTTTTAGCGGCACTGATTGTTCATTTATTTTCTTTTTTTCGTATCGCCCAGTTTCTATACGAAGTTGGTGGGCACTTGGTGTTGCTGGATACATTGAGATTTATACTACATGATCCTACAGACCTACTTGTACAGATTAAGGATATATATATATATATATATATATATATACTCTATATACTCATTGTTGTACAGAGTAACAGAAAAAAATTAGAGAATTGTGAATCTGTAATACCGGATATTTTCTAAAACAGGGATAAGACAAGGTTTAGAACATCAATCACAACTTATCACCATTAATTGCTTAATTACAGAATTGCTTTATAAAATTTACAACTGGCAATACGACAAAAAATTATCTCTTGCACTGGTATTCCGTTCATAAGGTTTGTATCTGGACGATAGTCCTCTCGTCTATGGGTAGGCACCGATTCTCCATGCTTTTCCTTTTACACCTTACTGGGCTGGAAAAAAAGTTACGACCTGATTTATGACAAAACAATAAACGAAAAACGAATACCGGATAGACAAAACCAACGCCAACCACTTAATGGCTTGGAAAAGGCACATATAGCACGTGGCGGAGTTTACATAATTGAGAGCACCCAATCCTCCCCTAACCTTGGACAGTGGTTAAGAACATACTGTTAAATCAGTTGAAAATAGACGATAACTCATCAGATTGGTACAGAGCACAAATGACAACTAACATAAAGACAAAAGACAAAAGACACACACTTCCTATCTAAGAGTACCCACAGTTGTTGAAAGCTAGTTAGAAGCTAATAACAAGCTTACTACTAAATAAATCATGTTTCTTAGACTAAAGTATTAATCAATACACGACGGATTTATTGTAAAGACCGTCATTAACAGTCTGGGTAAGGTATGACTTTTGCACCAAATATATACGTACATAATATCGCCAGGATGTAGTACCACAAGTTCTTATGCTTATATACATGTATATAAATGTAAAAGGTGCACATTTAGTTATGTTTTAATGTATAAAAAGCTATATCAAATGAATGTTAGTATACCGATAAAAACAATATTCAAAGATCTAACTAACTGCGGTGTTAAATTTGTATCCTTTAAAAATGGGTTTATTCAAAGACTCTGTGATGAGTTTACATGGATCGTTTCTATATTTATGGGCTTTATAAACAACAATACCGTAAAAATTAGGACAAACTATCCTGTTTGTAATAATAATTCTACAGGTAGAGCCAAACTTTCAAACAAAATCTTTGTATGACTATCTATGAAATAATATGGTAAACATTTTTTAAAAGTAATTTATGGTAACGAAATCCCTGACTTAATAATTTATCATTAAAACATATTGAATTCTAAAACGTTTCTACAGACACGGGCATAGAGAACGAGTTGGAAAATATATTCACCGCTAGATGAGGCCAACATTTGATTTGAAGTTATCGTAGTCAGCGGAATCATTTAGGGTTGGTGCAATTAATTATTACGGTGAATCAAGGGCAAACAATATTTTATTCAGAAAATACAGATAAATAACACAATTCGTTTCACGGTAAGTAAAACAAATGGATAACCATTTAAACAAATGTCTTTCCCATTAAAGAATCTGATTTTTATAACATCAGCTGTGGATCCGCAGTATTGCATCTACCAACATCCAACTAAGGTACGTAAGCTATTATGACGTTACGTTACCATTCGATATCGGCGTCTCTTGAAAATGGATTGAGAAAGAGCTTTCCCCTGTTATAATGACAACCATATCATTAATAGAATGCAGGTCAGACAAAGATCGATCCCGCCATTCATCAACTTCTACATCTAAAGGTTTAGACAAAACAAAAGTTGCTAAGGTAGATATGAATGATTTCTTCAAATATATTTTGAATATCTAGAAAGATATTTACGGAGTAAAATCACATCGATTAGGATTAGATTATAAAAATGATCTTCAAAGATGATTCAAATTATCAGAGAATTCAAGGTAGTGGTAATTCACCACATGTTATAAACTGGGTTTTATTTTGCAATCATACCACTTCTCCTTATTTTTATATTTAGCATATAAAAGAAATAGTTCAATGTTTGACATTATTGTTTTCTTTAATATGTAAATAGTAATATAGATTTTAAAACAATTGCGGAGTATATATCTCCCAGTTGATACGATATTCCAGGGCTTGTATTTCCTATCATGATTTCCTTGATAGAGCATTGTTGTTCACAAGGAAGATATTAAAACATCCCTTCGTAAATTTTACGGACGCCATCACGAGTTGGTTGACCGTTACGGAATATCCGTTTCACAGACCCTGATGTCGTAACTACAATCCCGTCCCCTTTTCATGAATGTGACCTACCGAATTAGACTTATTACGGTAACCGGGTTTGTACTAACACGACAACACGACGGGTGCCTCATGTGGAGCAGGATCTGCAGACCCTTCCTGAGCACCTGAGATCATCCCAAGTTTTTGGTAGGGTTCGTGTTGCTCAGTCTTTAGTTTTCTATGTTGTGTTTTGTGTACTATTGTTTGTCTGTTGGTCTTTTTCTTTTTTAGCCATGGCGTTGTCAGTTTATTTTCGACTTATGAGTTTGAATGTCCCTTTGGTATCTTTCGCCCCTCTTTTGCATTTTTTACATGGAATTACAGGGGCGGATTCATGCGGGGGCGTGGTGGGCGTGCTTCCCCTAAAATTTGCATAGCATGGGTTGTCCTCAGCTTAATAAAGAATATTTCGATAATTTTACCTAAAAAAAAATTTCGCTCAATTTTTGCTTGAATTTTAATCTTGCTATTTTGACACAATTTGTTCTCGCCGCATCATTGTCCGTGGTTACTGACGCAGCGTAAACCTGCTATCCACCAATGACTAATCGTAAGTTATAACACAAACAACAATAAACAAACGAATTCACAAATATATAAGTAAATAATAAGAATAAGACATGCACATCTTTTTTTTATTATAAAACTCCATTGTCGACGTACCAGATGAATTTTCCTGTAGATCCTGTCATTTATTTGTTTTTACTTCCCTTTTTAGATAGGAAGTTTGACAGCGGGCAACAGAAGCATGGAAGGTAGCTGTATTGTCAAGGAAATAAAAGGACTATCACTTTTAAATACAGAGACACACAAGCTTGAAAATCGAACAGGAAAACCGAGAAAACCAAGAGAGGTACGTGCATTATCTAAAGAGACGAATGTATTATAAATACACGCATTTCACAACATTCGAATGATGTGGACATATTGACTCCATTACGTAATGTGTTTCCATCAGATACGGTTGAAATCAAAATTTTGAAATGAAATATTTTGAAGAAAAATAAACAGTTAGATAAACAAGCAAATATAGCTTCCAAGAAAATCAGCACCTGGTTTATGTTTGGCAAGGTATTTTCCGATATTGTATCAAATATGTCTTCAATTAATAACAATGTAAAGCTATGAAGAACATTTTCATTTTAATTTTAATGATTATTTGTATATTGATAGTCAAATCTTTAATTTGTAACGTTGAGACTTTGCAATATACACATTCCAGTAGAATTTAACCATTTTCTAATTTTAACTCTGTGAGTGAAAGAAATTCAGAAATACCTCTTACTTATATGATTTTTGATACCACGTATATTTTTATATATCTATTCCTTAATTAATTAACATAAATATTAGGTATACACTGTGCCAGTAGAGAAATGCTGGCACTGGGTGGGTGATTCATTTATTTTTTCCCCATAGGAATGGAAAAAGAAAATACATTAAAGATTTTTGTATGTTTAGATTGATCTTTTAACCCAAAGACCTTCAACTACACAATATTATCAACACACGTTTTATGATTCTGAATGCGTCGATTATGATGTACAGACAGGACCACTGAGTGTCACTGGAGAAAGATTGGACGCTATATCCAACCTGCAGTTTTGTCTGGTAATTTTTAAAAAATGCAATCAAATAACAAATGGTCAAAAAAATATATATATATATATATAACACGTCTAGATGTAAGTTAACGATCTTTCTTACGAGGGCGTTGGGTCGTTAGTACTGTACACAATAATAAATTATAGATTTTGGATTGTATATCAATAAAATCTTTGACTTTGACTTTAAATTATATATACACCTCGAAAGTGTACAAAACAACACAAAAAATTAAAAAAAGGAAACAGTAAATATAAGTATCAACAAATATTTCGGATAACAGATATATCCTTCATCAGTATGACGTGAATTGAATCTTATCAATTTATTCTAATTTTCCCAAAACAAACTTGAACGTAATACAAATTAAAAATCGAACCATGTTTGTACAATTAAAAAATCTCCAAGTTCACGCAAATTTAGTTTAACTCCGTTTTTTATATGCACAATCTCACAATTACTCATGAAACTATAAGACAACTTGGCTTGTTGTTAATTATACCCCCAATCTATGAATGGGGGAAATATAACAATCCTCTTGTCTGTTCGTTCGTCAAACTTTTCACATATACTGCTAAATGTATAGACTTCATATTTGGTCAGCAGCTTGGCAGTGACCAAATGAAAAGTCACAGTGTAAGCACTTTTTGGATCTGTCCGATGCCTTCTCCCTGTTTTCCGATACTTTAAAATTTTCCTACACTATATGTCGGTCTGCATTGTAGCCAAGTACACCACTACACAGACGACAGTATTATATCAGTGAATCATCTAACAGTAGCAATTGTAGTGAATGCAGCCAATGCTGCGGAAGATCATCTCCCGATAACCCACCGTCATCTCCTATTCAAGAAGCGTCTGATTTAAAGCTGGATGGTAAAAAAATGTCATGTCCTGATTTTAGATCTAAATCTGAGGTAAATTATTTTAATGTTAAAAAAAACACCACACACACACAAAATTTTATACGAGAAACATCACAGAGAATTTGAAAAGTTTGACTATATCACATAACGAGATTATCATATATGCTTGACTTTCATTAGAAATATAAAGATTCATGTAGAGTAATATTGCTTGTTGGTGTTTAAAGTCACTTTCAGCACTATTGTCTAAACGTCGCGGTTAGTTTTTATTGGTGGAAGAAGCCAGAGTAGCCGGAGAGAACCACCGACCTTCGACAGGAAAGCCAATAAAGGTTGAGGTCGAACGCACCGCACCTGCTACGTGCGGGGATCGAAATCACAACCTTAATGTTGACAGGCAAGCGATACAGTAGATGAATTGCTTAGACCACACGACTACCGAGGCCCATTTTAAAAACGAAGTTTCCAATTATATACAAAAATATCGACAAATAATGACTATCTTACAAATATTAGCCAAAACAAAACTTCTTTATAAATCTTCTGGAGCGATTATAGCTGGTATATTTTGTAAGCAATTTGTATTGTTTAACCTTTTAGACGCCTTACCGTTCACCTTTAATAATTTGTCTTATTCACGTATCGTCCCCTTGATTTCAAATGTGTATTACCACTTTTTCCACACTAGGTTTATTATATTCTATCTTTTACAAAAAATCTAAAAAATAGGCAGTTGAAATAACGATATAAAAGTACACTTGATCGCCTTTAGGGAGCTACCATTTGATTTTTATGGGGGGCGGGGCTAGGATCTAAAACTGTGTCCTGCATTTTTTTTAGTTGTAATCTCTGTCCTGCCTTTTTAATGTTCACTCTATTTGGTCCTGCCTTTGTTTATTAGTTTATCCGGACTTTTTTTACATAAATTGTCATCCTGCCTTTTTTTTTGACAAGTTGTTCATTCTGCCTTTTTTTTACTCAAAACTCCTGTCCTGCTTTTCTTCAAATTTCATCCTAGCCCCCAATAAAAATCAATGTTAGCTCCCTTACAATTATTCATTATAAGTACATGTAGTTTGTAGTAAAGTGTGGATACAGGTAGAATGTGAAGTTTAAATATTGTTCTTAATAAACCGCTCCATGTGATAAGCTAGCATTAAACTATGAAACTTCAGTTTATAAAAGTTTCGTTTCTTATCAAAATGAATAAGTACAAACTAATGCTTACGTCATGCATTTAATTCTAGTATCAAACCTATGATAGCAAAACACCGCATCGTTCCTAGAAGTTAGATGTTCAGCTTGGAATTTATGACAAGGGTCTCAGATGACATTGAAAATTATTCATCAAATATTTCTTTCTATGGCAAAGTACAGATGGCCTCTTTACGCGTTATTATATAACAAATGTCTTCCTTCATATTAAGATAGCTTCGTAGGTGTCCATGATGTAGCATCACCACAAAATGAATGTGTTGTTCGACTTTGTAGTTGAAAGATTTCAAACCCGGACTTTTAAAGAAAAAGTCGTATTGCTGTGCCAAGTGTGAGGGTAGAATGATAAGCCACGACTCGCTGATGTTAGAATCGGGCAGCCCATTCCCGTCTTATTTCCGCCAGTGTAGTTCAACTTATGCAGAAACCCAGTCATATAACAACATACCACCACTACATTCAGACAGGAGCTTGGAAACTCGTGAAGAACTGATTATTGACCAGCCTCTAAAAGACGATATGTTAACTTTACCAGAATTACCACACGCTATTGCCATTGAAAAAGAAAAGTCTGGAGCTGTCTTTGAACGTTCCAAGAGCGTTCAAAAACCAAGGCTCTTCCCGAGATATCTTCATTATAATCATAATAGAAAGAAGTCCGATGAAAATGAAGAACTGTTAAATTCAACTTCCATTGCATCTAAACAGAAATTTCACAGTTCTCACAAAACAGGTATCTTTTTACATTTTTAGGTAGATGTTCAAACTAAAATACAAACCCCTAAGAATTAAACCATGAAATATATATCTGACGAAACATTGTGAAAATCTGTTTTCGTATAGTAATTTTTATGCTTTTTCGGATTGAATGTTTTACAAACTATAGCTTAATATATATAACGAAGATGTTATGATGCTTTTTCTAAAAAATGGAACGTAGCTCGCAAAATATAATACATGGTTGAAACAGAAACCTTGTAAAACCACCCAACAGTTGATAAGGTTAAACCGTTCAAATTCAACATTTTTACCCAAACAGCAACATTTCATTATTAGTACGTTTGAATTCTATAAATCTTCAAAAATAGTTTATCAGAAAAGAGTGATTTCATATCCCATTTTTTTTATATTAGATTTATATCTCTTACAATTTTTGATCGAATTTTCGATCAATTATTTTAAAAAATTGCCAGTTAGGTCTCTATAGTAGATGATATGTTTATTTCCCAATCCACTCTATACAGAGGGAGGTATTTTTATGATTACAATTGACATTTAATTATTACCAGAACCATTCATTGTAATGCAATTGATAATGATGAACTCCTTTGATATTTATCTTAAAATTTAAAGAATTTGAACAGAACACTTGACCAGTTCATGTCATTATCTGTTCATTCACTCCATTTATACCCGTTATTTATTGTAAATATTTTTTCGCTATTGGACCTATTAGGGATTTTTTTTTAATTACTTGAGCACAAATTTTGAAATTGATTGTCATAGTTTGTGTGCTTTATGGATAAAGATACACCGCAAAATAAGCTGTAAAATTGACAGAAAACTGGATTTTCCGTATTTTAATTTAACGACGCTTCCATGTTTGTGTCACCTGCCACGTTCTGTGCATATTTTCCAATCTATGAAGGACCATAACTCTGAACAACAAAGGTGAAAATCATCATTAAAAATTGACCTCCAATTTGCCATCAGAAAAAAACTTACATCAAAAATATAAAAACGCATTGGTTGAACGGTTCATAAGTAATTGCACGGAAACGACATAAAGTGCCATTTTCCAAATTAACATGGACCAGACTAGTAACTCCTAAACAGTAAAAGTGAAAATCCTCAATATCGAACATGATCTCAGTTTTGTCATCAGTAAAACATATCAAAGATTTGAAATGCATCAGTTGAATGGTTCATAAGTTATTGCACGGTATTACACAAAGAACCATTTTCCAATCTACCAAGGAACATAACTCATGAACGGTTAAAGTGAAAATCGTCAATATCAAATTTGACTTCCATTTTGTCATCACTAACAACAAATTAAAATTAGAAAAAAAACATTGGTTGAACGGTTCCTAAGTTATTGCACGGAAAATGTTGGCAACAGCCGGCCCTTCAAGATATAAATTTTAATGATTTAATTTTGAAGATTCATAGAACTCAAAAGGACTTATACATTAAATAATAATTAAAGAATTTGGTAAAAGTTGAATAATGATATGATTGCTTATTCAATGTATAAACAACTTAACATCATGTTGTTGCCAATAGATCTTTTTGAACTTTGTAAACAAATCTGTTATTTGTAAAACATGTAGAGATTTTCTTGTAAAGAAATATAAATATTACTTGTGGTTCTTAGAAATATTTAATGGAGAAACAACGAGCCAACAAATTAGAGTTCCTAGCAACGAAAATAATGAAATCCACCAACCCTACAGAAAAAGTCAACAAAAAGATTCAGAGAAACGTGGTGTTGATGAGGTTATTAACATATTTTGGTCAAATCACCAACCATGTGAAAACTACGCATATTTACATGTCCCTTTGCGGGAGCGGCCAAATTACCAACCATGTGAAAAGTACTCACATTCACCCGTCCCTTTGCTGGAGAAAGCAACATCGATGTCAAACAGTGATCTGATACAAAGTAAGGTAGCAAAAACACCACCACTTGCTGATTTAGTACAACGTGAAGTAGTAGAAACTCCACTACTTGCTGATTTAGTACAACGTGAAGTAGCAGAAACACCACCACTTACTAATTTAGTACAACGTGAAGTAGCTGAAACACCACCACTAGCTGATTTAGTACAAAGTGGAGTAGTAGAAACACCATCACCTTCAGATTTAGGTACTCCATATAATTCGAATACGGATCTACTGATTGGAATACATTCAGTAAATCCTAGTATTTCTGTTAGCATACACAATCTTCCAAGTATTTCTTCATCAAAGAATAATGACATTAGAATAGAGGCCGAAAATTTCAAAACAGAAGCTGTCAATCAAACATCACCCAAACCAGTATATTCAAAAGAAGAGTTCCTAGGAAGAGTTAAGGGCATGGAATCAAGGTTAGCGTTTTTACTTTACTTTTTTTCCGAACGTATGTTTAAATTAGGACTTTTGCACTAATATTTTAGTCCTATATGTTTGATACTGTTTTGGTGCATCAACACTAAACCAAATTAAATTCATGTTCTATTTCATTCTATAAAACTAATATCCTCTATAGCACTTAACTAAGAAATTTAAATTCCTTAGTTTTTTTGTGTGTCAATATTTAGCTTCTTTATCACTTTATTTAGCACAGCACTCTGAACCTATCTTGGAACGACGTTTATTCTATCTAAGGTCTACTCATGACTGTTTTTTTCTTTTGTCTCTCATTTTTATCCAGTTGTTCGATGATATTAGAAATTACGTCGTCTGATATGTTTTTGTTTCCTGTGCCAATGTCATAGGTATTGTTGAATGGAAATGTTGTGATACTAGTGATTTATCTATTTTCCAGAGAGATGTTACAAGACATCATTCGCGAGTGTGCTCAAGGATTAAAAGAGATCTCTCACAGAGGATTTTTACCAGGTAAGGATATCAATCATACGCAAAAAAATTATAAATCAGAAAAAAAAATGTTAAAAGACTCTCAACTTATATAGCATTTAATACATAAAAGCAGATATTCCATATATCTTTTTGTGAAAACGTTAGGTTGTTTGGTAGCTGGAATTAAATTTTCAAATAGTGTCGTGCTTTGTTTTCAGACATTTCTGAAAGAAATGACTTTTATTTTGAACCAAATACCGACAAACGGTACAACAGATGGAAAAGAAGACGAAGGAAGAAGAGAAAACAGGTTCGAGATGGAAAGCAGCAAGAGTTGATATCACCTGATGACAGCTCTGCAGAAGAAGGAGCCAATAATGAGGAAGACTCCATCCCTCCGGAAAGACCTGATTCACAAATCAAGTTTCGCCGTCGACGCCGAGAAACCTTAAAACAGCTTTTTGGTAGCGAACAAGCAATGTTATGCTATGATGCTAGTTCGGATCAAACATCTTCAGACAGAGATAATTACCTGTCAGTGGAGAATTACCTTCGTAATGGCGATCGTGCCTCAATATCTGACGAGGGTTTAGAGGCGTTTAAGGATGAAAATAACGGTAGATATCTATTTGATAACTGGGTTTATACTTGTAGTGTTTATATAAGGTTTCTCATAATCACCAGAAACCGATCATTTTCTGAAATCGAATAGCATAAATTTGTTCTATAATATATCACTGTGATACCGAATGATTTAAGATCAGTAGAAAGAAGAACTTATTTATTAACAAGTTACATATTTGTTCTAAAAGTGATATTCTAATTCAAACATTTGATAAAATAATCGACTGATACATGCATAATCTATTTGAATTTTGAAAATGTGGCTTGTATTATTCCATGCAGTTTGGAGATATTGTTTGATTGATATTTATCCCTATGAAAAAAAAATGAAAACAACACGTTATAAATTTCATGCGTCCGAATTAAGGGCATTTCTGGATTTACCTTCATTAGGAACGCTCAAAGCCGAATATCAGTTTAAAAGTTATTTCAAACCCTGCCTCACTACAGTTTTTTTTGCATAAATAAAAGATGGCAAAATGTTTAAAATAATTTGTCATAAGAATACATAATGAAATATATTACACACACACTCTTGTTAATTCAGATGGAATGCATCTTTCGTCACACTACATGCAACAAAAGAAATATACAAGTTCAACCTTTCTTCAACAACTGGGTGCTTACATAGAAAAATCAGAGGTGTCAACAAAGACTTTAAACGTTCCAGAAGATGGTATGCCACTAACAGAAGGTATCGAAGGGAATGCTAACGATATTATCACGAGAGTAAACAGCCGCTTTAAAATACTGGATAGGCAAACACACAATAAAATAGAAAGCAAGTTTTTAGACAGACATCAGAATAAAGTGAGTGATGGAACAATTTCAGAATTACCTCAAAATAGAAATGTTGAGGGATTAAATGTTGAAATAATTCATAGAGAAGAACCGAGTTTTGATCGGAAAGAAATCATTTCATGTGTAAATGGTGAGATGAAACATAACATAATCTCAGAGTTGGAATCTCCGGAAAATCACCTTATCATATCTCAAGATTACTTGATTAAAAATGGATACTTATCAGCTCCTGATCAAGTGTTAGGTGCAAGTAGTTATCGACAAAATTCCTCAGCTGCCGGTCAAGTGTTGGATGCAAGTGGATGTCGACAGAATTTATCAGCACCCGACCAAGTGTTAGATGCAAGTGGTTATCGACAAAATTCCTCAACTGCCGATCAAGTGTTTGGTGCAAGTAGTTATCGACGAAATTCATCAGCTATCGACCAAGTGTTGGATGCAAGTGGTTATCGACAAAATTCCTCAGCTGTCGATCAAGTTTTTGATGCAATTGAGTATCGAAAAAATTCTTCAACTTCCGATCAAGTGTTGGATGCTATTGATCATCGCCAAAATTCATCAGCTGCCGATCAATTGTTGGATGCAAGTGATAATCGTCAAAATTCCCCAACTGCCGGTCAAGTGTTGGATGCAAGTGATAATCGACAAAATTCCCCAGCTGCCGATCAAGTGTTTAGTACAAGTAGTTATCGACGAAATGCATCAGCTGCCGATCAAGTGATGGATGCAAGTGATTATCGACAAAATTCATCAGCTGCCGATCAAGTGTTGGATGCAAGTGGTTATCGACAACATTCCTCAACTGCCGATCAAGTGTTGGATACAAGCGCTTGTCGACAAAATTCATCAGCTACCGATCAAATGTTGGATGCAAGTGTTTATCGACAAAATGCCTCTACTGCCGGTCAAGTGTTGGATGCAAGTGGTTGTCTACAAAATTATTCAGCTTCTGACCAAGTGTTAGATGCAAGAGGTTATCAACAAAATAATGTAATAAATGACTATTCCGAACCAAGTCTGCAAAATGAACTTTATTCGTCAATGAATTCTACAAGTGAGTGCGATTCAGACCCATTTATACGAGTAGAAACTGTACTGCGGAAGAGTCAACAGTATGGAAATCTTAGCAATAAAACACTAACAAAAGGTAGTAGCGAAAACATCGCAGATACCTACAAGCAACCACCTTGTCAACGCTTATACAGTAAAGACAGGAAAAGCGAATTTAACTCAATTTTAAATTTAGAACGATCTGTTTTAAAGTTGGCCAAACAGCACCATCAGAAAAATCAGTCTTTGTCCAACAAGAAGTATTCTGAAGGTCAGCTTAAACCTAAACTTCCTAACATTCACGATGGCAAGGTATCAACTCGAAGTACAGGTAAAGGAAAACAGTCAAAGAATCATAGAAATATCTTGGATAGGTGAGTGGACGTTTAGAATTGTAATATAATAATATTCTATTTTGAGATTTCTATTTTCATCTTTGTAGGTTGATATTTCGAAAAAGATAAATGAGTATTTCTAGGTTAAGAAATAAATTTCAAGTCCTCGGAATGCATTGTGTGTTCGTACTGGCCGACAAAGGAATACACAAATGTGGTAGTGGTATGACGTAAATACAGCACGGGAGTTCTTAAACATGAAACTATAATTCTTGTACATTCAAGGTCGTGTGCTCCAGGGAAAGTCAAATAGTAGAAAATAATTCAGTTTTCAGTTTGAGGCCTCCATTATGTATCTGAAGGTTCCTACATATATTTACGTTTGTTTGTTGGTGTTTAATACCACTTAGGTAGCACGCCACAGTTAGGTGTGTAGTTTCGCATTTTGGACCCTGTGGATTTTTCAAATATGATAGCTAGTGTAGAATAAAATTTCATTTTTGGATAGCTGAAGATTAAAATAGCCTTCATAGTGGGTTTATAGGAACATCAAGATTATGTAATGTATTTAATATGGGCTGTTTTCTGTATGACAGTCCGTATTTTCATATCCATACCAAATATTGGTTCGGCAATTATTGTAATGTTTTTTTCCAACTTTATGTCGCACGAACTTTGCAATTAAATTTTACGAAAAAATGAGGCGAAAGACACCCATTTTTTATTTGATCATTTGGTAGATTAATATCAACAGTTTCTGAAAAGGTATCACTGAAAGGCATTGAAATTCTAGTTTGAACCAAATCGTGGGGGAATATGTGACTTTTTTACCCCCCTTTTTGTAATATTTTATGGTAAATAAATGCAGAATGTTGCCATGGATACACAAAAAAGGAATTATATTTCACCATTTTAACTTTTAAAAACCAAATCTATGGAAGATACTGATTACATACATATGCACATGTATAACACAAACAGTTAGGTTAATGTATTAGAAAGCCAGGAATAGAAGATGATAAAACATTTTGTGGTTCAATTTTAATGTTTTTTTCTAACTGTGGAGTGCTACCTTAACGTTTATGTTACATTGGTTCAATCATGTCGGCCAGCTTTTGTTTGTGAAGAGAACCACTTTGGTATCCTTCGCCTCTCTTTATAGAACTGATATTAATCACAGTTTATTGCTAAACTCAGTAAAGATCCGCTTAAATTCCATGTAATAGAAAAATCTAATTTTAAGAATTAAAATTTAGTTTTGTAAATTAAATACTCACCTTCATAAATTTAGATATCAGTCCACTCGCTGCATTATTCAACCGGAAACCAGCCAGAAAAAAGAACCATACCACTGTGACCACTCCCACCTGACGCATACGCGTCATAAACCTTCATCATTTGTTTCTTGAACTGACAGACACTAAGGGGGATGGGGACGGGGGGTTTAGGGGGGGGTCGGGACCTCTGATTTATGAAGGTGAGTATTTAATTTACAAAACTACATCAAATACCTCACCTTCATAAATTTAGATAAACAGAATTTAACGAAGCGCTGAACCCCCCTCACTAGGAGGAGGAAAAACAACCTGTTGAGCAGCAACTAAGGGTCATAAAGAATAGAGGTTGTCACAATGATGAGGCATAGAGCGTAAATACTGGTTATAAAAGGCACTATCTGACCTCCAAAAACCATCTGACATGATTTTCGATATAGAGGAGGAATTAAATATATTCCAAAGAGAGACTAAGGCTCTTAACTTGATGTTTAGCTAAAACTTCAGACAAGCAGACTTATAGGCCAACATGACAGTATTGCAAATCCAGGTAGAAATGGTTTTAGCAGAAATGTCAGAAATTCCTTTTTTAATAGGAATGAACAACCTAGAAGAACCAACAGGTCTTAATTGTGCTGACGAGGCTAGGTACAAAAGCAAAGTTCTCATAGGACATTCGTATGGAATGGGGGAAACGTCAATCTCCAAGTTGCAATTCAGACTGGTGGCAAAAAGATCTACTAGTATATGAGAACGATCCCAACGAAGAGTGATCTCCTGAAACACTGATTGATGAAGTTCCAAATTCGGTGTTCACTGGAACACGTGAACGAGGAAGAGCATCAGACAGAAGATTTTGACTGCCTGGAACATGTCTCACTGACAAGATTATATCGAGACTGTCACACAGAAGAAGAATTTCCTTCCACAGAAGATACAGAGAAAAGGAATGAGTCCCCCTTGATTCTGAAGCCACTGCTGTGGAGTTGTCCGTGGCAACCAGAAGTGACTGACCCTGAATCCCAGCCTGAAAATGAAGGAGAGAAAGTGACACAGCTCTCATCTCTAGAAGATTGATGTGTTCTTCAAACTGAGCACCTGACCAAAGACCTGAAGCTATTTTGCTCTCTAGATAAGCTCCCTAACCCATCAAGCTCGAATCTGTGAACAAAGATAGAATGGGGTCTTGAGGATACAACAAAACTCCCTTCAGAAGGTGTTTCTCCTGAAGCCACCACTGAAGATATGGTAACATTCGAGGAAGAATTAGAACAAGTGCCTCCCACAGATGAGAAATTGGGTGCCAAAACTCCGTCAGATACCACTGGATTGGACGAATGTGTAGACGTCCTAGTGGAATGACGCCTTTGATTGAAATCAAGAAACTCACCAGCTGAAGAAATTGACAAGCTGGGACAGTTGAAAACTGCATTAAAGCACTGACTAACTTATATACCTTGATTAACGATTACAACTCTGAAATTTGGTTTATGGATAATTTTCAGTCAGCTTTTAGGGCATCTAATAGAGCTGCTGTAAATAATACTTTTTGTGATACTCTTGCATTAGCAGAAAAATATCCTTTAGAGAAGGTTCATTCTAAATTTTGTAAAGCAGTATTAGGACTGAAAAAGACAGCCACTAACATAGGTGCTAGATCAGAATTAGGTAGATTTTCTTTGGACTCTTATATAAAAACTCAAACACTCATGTATTTTTATAGAATAAACTGTAATTATATTAATCCCCTGGTTAAAGAATCTCTACAAACAAACATAAATTTACATTCCGCAGGAATTTATTCTTGGTACTCATTTGCAGATACAATTTTTAAAGATATGAAAATAAACCCAGAAAATTAATCTAATATTAATGTACCTTTTAAACAATAAAAAAACGTGTTAAAATGTAATATTAAAAAGTGTGTTTCAGAGGAATATGAAAAAACTACTTTAAATAAACTTTCAAAATTGGATACCTCATCCAAACTTTGTCTCTATGGGAAATTAAAAACTAATTGTCAGTCTGAGGAATATTTAAATTGCAATAATTTTATACATAGGCAGTTTCTCTCAAAATTTAGACTCAGTGATCATTCCCTAGGCATTGAATTGGGAAGGTACAGAAACATTCCAAGAGCACAAAGATTATGTAAAAAATGTGGAGTCCTAGATGACGAATTTCATTTCTTTTTGTATTGTAACATTAACATATCATTGCGTTCCAATTTTGTTGCTTATCTAAAAGACTATGTACCATTATTTCAACATCTTGATGCATTTAATAAACTAAAACACATTCTAAACCCCATCCCTGAACTTATTTGTCATATTGGAGTCTTTATTAAGCAGTCTTTAGAACTGAGGGGGTCAGACCCATGTCAGACAAGCTTATGATTGTGTTTTTTACATAAATTTAAAATTGAAGTCTTAAAATATGTTCTATTATTGTCGAGCCTGCGACTTTTGTCGCAGAAAGCTCGACATAGGGATAGTGATCCGGCGGCGGCGGCTACGGCGGCGGCGGCGTTAGCTAACTTCTTAAAAGCTTTATATTTTAGAAGGTGGAAGGTCTGGATGCTTCATACTTTGTATATGGATGCCTCATGTTACGAAGTTTCCGTCAGTCACATGTCCAATGTCCTTGACCTCATTTTCATGGTTCAGTGACTACTTGAAAAAAAAGTTAAGATTTTTTGTAATGTTAGATTCTCTCTTATTATAAGTAATAGGATAACTATATTTGGTATGTGCGTACCTTGCAAGGTCCTCATGCCCGTCAGACAGTTTTCACTTGACCTCGACCTCATTTCATGGATCAGTGAACAAGGTTAAGTTTTGGTGGTCAAGTCCATATCTCAGATACTATAAGCAATAGGTCTAGTATATTCGGTGTGTGGAAGGACAGTAAGGTGTACATGTCCAACTGGCAGGTGTCATCTGACCTTGACCTCATTTTCATGGTTCAGTGGTTATAGTTAAGTTTTTGTGTTTTGGTCTGTTTTTCTTATACTGTATGCCATAGGTCTACTATATTTGGTGTATGGAATGATTGTAAGGTGTACATGTCTAGCGGGCAGGTGTCATCTGACCTTGACCTCAGTTTCAAGGTTCAGTGGTCAAAGTTAAGTTTTTGAGTTTTGGTCTTTTATTCTAATACTATATGCAATAGTTCAACTATATTTGGTATGTGCGTACCTTGCAAGGTCCTCATGCCCGTCAGACAGTTTTCACTTTACCTTGACCTCATTTCATGGATCAGTGAACAAGGTTAAGTTTTGGTGGTCAAGTCCATATCTCATATACTATAAGCAATAGGTCTAGTATATTTGGTGTATGGAAGGACTGTAAGGTGTACATGTCCAACTGGCAGGTGTCATCTGACCTTGACCTCATTTTCATGGTTCAGTGGTTATAGTTAAGTTTTTGTGTTTTGGTCTGTTTTTCTTATACTGTATGCCATAGGTCTACTATATTTGGTGTATGGAATGATTGTAAGGTGTACATGTCTAGCGGACAGGTGTCATCTGACCTTGACCTCATTTTCATGGTTCAGTGGTCAAAGTTAAGTTTTTTGAGTTTTGGTCTTTTTTTCTAATACTATATGCAATAGTTCAACTATATTTGGTGTATGGAAATATTTTATGATCTATTTGGCAGTCACGCAGGTTTTATTTGACCTTGACCTCATTTTCAAGGTTCATTGCTCAGTGTTAAGTTTTTGTGTTTTGGTCTGTTTTTCTTAAACTATAAGCAATAGGTCAACTATATTTGTTGTATGGAAGAATTGTTAGCTGTACATGCCTGCCTAGCATGGTTCACCTGACCTTGACCTCATTTTCATGGTTCATTGGTCAATGTTAAGGTTACTTGGTTAATGTTAAGTTTATGTGACAGTTGTAATAAAGCTTTATATTTAGGACTATCAACATAATATCAATGATTAGTAAAGAAGGCGAGACATTTCAGCGTGTGCACTCTTGTATTGTATTGTATTACATTGTATTGCATTGTATTTTAAATGTATAATTGTTTGTATTGCTTGACCCTTATGGGTGTAATTTTGCAATAAAGATTATTATTATCTTCTCTTCTGGAGGAAGAACTAGACCCATATCCGTCTGAAAATGTTCTCCCAGGAAAATAAAATTCTGACTGGGAATTATATCTGATTTTCCCCATGAAATAAAAAACCCAGTTTCAGGAGTAATTGGATAGCCAAATTGCTGTGTTCCTCCAGAAGAGAATCGTCTAGGTAGGAGTGAATGAGTACCGCCTGGATTGAAGATAAGACACCACAGTCTGAAAAATCCTGGTAAAAACTAGGGGAGCAGTAGAAAGGCCAAAGGTAGCAATACACAGTAAGAAGTTTAGTTTCGCATTATGGCCATGGTGAATTTTTTAAATATGAAAGTTTTTGTACAATAAAATTAATTTTTAGATAGTTGAAGAATAATATAGCCTTCGAAGTGGGTTTATATGAACATTTAGATTGTTTTAGCATGTTTTATAGGCCATTTTTCTGTTTGACAATCCGTATTTTCCTATCCGTACCGCCCATAGGTCCAGAAATTATTGTAGTGTTTATCAACAAAGATTTTACGCTCGATCTTTTCAATTCAATTTTATGGAAAAACGAGCAGAAAGGCATATGAATATTTTTGGACCTCTTGATAGATAAATGTCTATGGTTTCAGGAAAGGTATCACTCTAATTGATAGAAATTTTACTTTGGATCAAGTTTTGGAGACTTTTGTGACATTTTCACCCCCCTTTTTGCAATATTTTGTATCAAATAAATGCAGATTGTTGCCATGGTTACACCAAAAAGAGATTATATTTCACCTTTTTAACTAATGAAAATAAAATCTATGGAAGATGCTCTTTCCAGAAATATACACATACATAACACAAATAGTAAGCCTTATTTATTAGATAGGAAGGAAAAGAGGGTGGTTAAAAATTATGAGTGTCAATTTTAAGATTTTTTCCTAACTGTGTATTGCTACCAAAAAGCATAGCCTTGAAATTGTACAATTTGTCTGCCCAAACCAGTCTCAGGAAATGACGAAACTTGGGAGAAATCGGGATGTGAAAATAAGCATCCATCAAATCTAGAGAGGTCGTCCAAATTCCTTAATGAAGTGTCGACTTGATTGATCTGTTGGTTTCCATTTTGAAATGTAGGACCACCAGATACTGATTCAGAACAGAAAGGTCTAGAACCGGTCTCATTTTCCCGTTCTTCTTGGATAATAAAACCCTAGATGAAAAGGAGGATTTACCTCCTCCAACACACCCTTCTGAACTAGAATGTTCACTTCATCTTCCTGTACCAAGTCCGGAATATGACAGTTGTTGTCCATTCGTTTGATGTGTTTGTGCTTTTGATTTTGCCATTTAATTAGGGACTTTCCGTTTTGAATTTTCCTCGGAGTTCAGTATTTTTGTGATTTAACTTTTTGCAACAACTGATTCTTTTGAGAATCCTTTGTCACTGACAGATTGATTGAAATATGAGACTGTTCCAAAAACGGAAGCTCCAATCCCCCCGTAAAATCGAAAGCACCACTTGTCTGAAGTTATCAGAGACCAATGATATAGAAAGTGGGAAAGCCTGCTTCCAACTGGAAGATGAGAAAGAGGAGTTGTATAATGTTCCTCTTCCAGTGGGGATGGATTTAACGGCGGGGACAACACATCACTTACCCTGCTTCTTACCCTTTACAACTTTGGCTTTCTTGCCACCTGAAAGGTTAGGACAAGAGACAGCCGATCTCTTCATAGACTGTGAAGAAGAAGAGGAAGAAGAAGCCCTGGGCTGATGAGAGGAAGAAGGCTTGGGCTGATGAGAGGAAGAAGGTTTGTTAATCTTAGTTGTCTTGACAATTCATTTTCCATCCGTGACCTTAACATCCACCTTGACAACAGGAGGAGCCTTATTCACCTCCTCCTGTAGCTGATCAAAGGAAACAGAGAACAACTTGTCCTAAGACAGAGAAGACCTTAGAAGACTCTCCTGGAAAGCTTCAGAGACAGTCGATGTAGCAAGAATCTCCTGTCTCTTAGCAAGAATAAAATTGGCCAAGGTGTCAAGAATAAGGAATTGAGAAATTCCAAGACTCTTGTCTACCTGTAGAAGCAAAGACTTCAAGTCTGAAAATTCCACCCCTGTGTCCTTTAAAAGAGACCAAGCTGCCGCCAAATAGTGTTCAGCTGTCTCAAGAACATAAGTTAGAAACCTCAGATTATTCTCTGATTTTACATATGAATACTGAGAAAGTCTGAGGCCGTTCACAGGTTTCGAACCCAGTAATCTAGAAAAAAAACCTTTTCAAAAATTGGAGCAGACATACCCAAGAAAAATCCATGAATCTTGGATCTGGTTTTCCCTGAATAATAGGCAGGTCCGAAACCAGAGAACTTACTATCACCAGGTGTTAGCATGGTTCTCAGCCAAAGACGAGTTAACAAAAGCCAAAGCTGTTGTGAAATGACCCGACTCTGGAAAAGAATGATACCCTTTAAATCTGGCTTGACTAAACAAGAGCAAGCCAAAAAACCTGAATGGACATTAGAAACCCTTGGTGGAGTATACATGGGCATATCCGACAAATCCCTACGAATGGAACAAATTAGACTCCTAAGACATTCTGAGGAGTTGCCTGAAGAAGGCTCCTTAGTATCCATAGCATCTTTCTCTGTGCTCCCAACACTGTCATTATCAGATGAAGCACATTGGTCTTCAAGAAAGTTAAGTTCTTGTCTTCTTGGAGCTGAGGAAACAGAATCATCTTCCACCAGATGTCTAGAAAGTGTGGGAGGATCCTATGGAGGATCCTGAGACAGACCCTTAAACTCCATAAGGGCAAGCCTGTTACCAAACTCAATGAATTTTGCATTAACAGATGCTTGCATGTTATGGATAGAAGTGGTTAGAGTCTTTATCTCATACTTAAAAGATGATGATTCTGGACTGCTTTCCACGGGATCCCTGACCAGACCAGACTGACTGAGCCGAATACGGATCGAAGGGCTGAGGATAAGGAGGCAAGGTGGGCATACCCATAGCCATGGGAGGGTAGGCAAAATTTATAGGCCACCTAGTCCTGGAAAAGGGGTCACTCCTGATACCAACTGGAAGCGTCTCCTGCATACTTGTGCAAGAAACAGGAAACATTGGTATCTCTTTAGGCCTGGTTACGTTATGAGATACCCTACTAGGCCTAGATAACCTCAACTGACTAGCACCAGAAGTGAAGGGCAAAGTTCTAACAGGGCCTGGGTCCTGTTCCAGACTCACACTAGAAACACCAGGGATAAACTGAGATCCCATACCTCTATCCCAAAACTTATCCGAATGAGTGACCGAACGCCAAGAGGACAACAAACCACTTGTGTGTGTGTTTCACTTACCTCTTGCGTTGACTATATTGGTGTTTTATCAACCATTTATATTCAGATAAATTAAATTAAAATATATAACCTGAATAATACCAATAATAATACAAATTAATATTACAAAATAATTAAAAGCTATAATTTTCTATCAAGAAAAACATGGTTTTGAAAAAAAACTTTATTCCTTCTCAGACAAAGCGTGCAGCATACACCATGGAACCGGACAAAATGATAAAAGGTTTATGGCGCGCATGCGTTAGGTGGGAGAGGTTGTCACAGGGGTATGGTTCTTTTTTTCTGGCTGGTTTCCGGCTGAAAAATGCAGCGAGTGAACTGATATCTAAATTTATGAAGGTTAGGTATTTAATGTAATAAAAATTTAATAACATTGTTAATTTGAAATTTTTACTTTAGATTATCAAGTGTTCTCTAGTTATACTGCGAAAATGTACAAAGTTAACGGATATGAAATACAATAATTGTCCTTTTTCTTGATTTGGATATTTCAGTTTCACACAGGAAACTCTTTACAAAATGTCTGCTGTTGAACTGATAGTCCCCGAGGATATGATCAGCTATGTACAAATGCTGCGGTACCGACATGATTTATAACAACTTTCTTAAAATCCAGATGTCTATTGTCCATATATTGTGAACTTCTCAAACCTCTTTTCCAACTTAGTTTATTTGGCATCTTCTGCAGGAACGAACAAAAATGAATAGCAAAATCCAGTTAAGTTTTTAATATTCTGAAACTTAAAATGCATTTAAATTTCATATATATAAGTCCTGCCATGCTCCGAAACTTTTCCAGGTGCACAGGTTTGTCTGTACTCAGAGTGAAATTTGTGGTGTACGGCCTTATTTGCTAAAAGGTTATGATGAACCTTAAGTAACTAATGTTCCAACTACCACAGGTAAAGTTTACTGTAGGTGGATTTGTATAACTCCTTTTCATGTCCCTTATGTCATATATAACTCCTCGACTCTCAATTGTTTGGGTTTAAGCGTTGTAAGTGTACAAAAAAATGATTCAATTTTAGGTTTGTAAATCCTTTGAACGTCCAGAACGTTGAGGGAAGCAATAGTCCTTACCATAAGGATAACAATGCAGTCCTGGTTACAACGATCCATCGACAGAGGAAGGAGAATTCTGTTTTAAAGAATGATAAAATGAAAATGGAAAAACGTTCACAAAGTCGACCCATTTCAAAGAAGCTGAATAATTCACAAGGTAACTTGAGAAATTGGTACTTTTCACATACAATAAAAACGTAAAAGATACAAAAGCAGATAACTAAATTAAGGCGACAGTAGTTTATCGATGTTCAAATCTCGTAAATCGATAAGGAAGAGACAAATCAAGGTAACAAACATAAACGGAGGGAATCGCATTATGTTCCAAAGGAGCGAGACCGGGTGCGTCGACAGAGTAAGTGTCTCCCGATATGCATACAAAATCCGCCATACGAGTTCACACTAGGTACAAATGTCACAATCGGAAACAAATGGTAAAATTACAGTTCAGACTTTTATACTGGTATCTAAAAATCTAACACCACGAAAACATGTCGCTAGTTAATGCATTTACAATCAGCAATGGAAAATGGCTCTTCCGTATACCAGATAGAAAATCTGAACTCAAACAACTATGTACCTGATTAAGTCCAGTACTTCAGTATAAGTAATGTATCCTGTTCAGACATCCACCAGTAAACCAGTTTTGATCAAAAACAGTAATTTTGATCTGAACGTTCTTAAATGACTAAACAATAAACTATTAAGTCATTATCTGTCTTTCAGTCTATTTTCAAACTTATCCGTTGCGGTAAATTCCGTACTGTTCAGACAATTCGCTTGCAACTAAGATATGTTCTGTCTATGATCATGCTGTTCAGTAGTTGTTATCTACCTGTGCACATCAACATCATACTGAATTGTCTAAAAGTCACTGAACAGTTCTGAATTGACTGCAAGCGTATTATCTGAGCAGTATTTAATTTACCGCAGCGGATAAGTCTGAACATTGACTGAAAACTGAACAATTATTGCTTTGGGCGTTTCCGATGAAGGTATATGCAAAAAGAAAACGCTTCAAACGCATGTAATTTGTAAAATTTTATTTTCATTTTTATAGCTAGTGTTTAGTAGTAACCACAATACTTTATGTCAATTATCAAGCAAGGTATTAAGTTAAACCCTAAAAAAAAAGACCACTAAAGAATAAAGTCGAATGATATAATGATATAATGTCTAAATATCAATTCTTTTTAATACTAAACTTTGCGACGATACAAATCTAACGAAGCATAGTGAAATATCTGGGGGTTATAAGATTGATAAACTGTTAAATTGCCAATGCACTCACCAATAAAATCAGACTTAACGCAAAACTTCCTTAATGAAACTCAAAGAAGTAATTACCATGCAGATCACTGGACATGATGATGAGGATGATGATGGATGGCTGCTTAACGTCCAGCGGCAAATTAATATGCATAATTCAGGACGAGAACATGTTAATGTAATATGAGTATTTACCTTACTTTGTACTAGACCGACACGCAGATTTTAACGTACTATAGTTCACGAGGTAACAGTCCGCAGGAAGACATGTCACCTTTCCCGGACACATTATTCTGACTCCGAGACGACCAGTCTTTGCTCTTACTCCGTAATGCCACGTGCTTAGCAGAGAAGCAGCAAATACCCTTTTTAAAGTCTTTTGTTTGACGCGGCCGGGGTTCGAACCTACGACCTCCGCACTCGAGGCGAACACGCTACCACGAGACCACCGAGGCGGTCACTGGACATGATATCGAGGTTACGTTATCACCTTGAGTTATTCTTTGGATACTAGTAGTTGATATCTAAAAATTAACATGTTTATATAAAGTGACATTGTAATACTAGTATTACATAACCTTAACATTAAAAACATTGACCTGAAATTTAACCATGGCATTCAAATGAAACTATCCTCTGGACATTTGGATAATATCTTAATGTATTCCGCCGAGAAGTTAAATTTTTATATCACGTCAGTTGTACGCAAATCTTCTATAACTTGGCAAATGAAATTTTAACCATGATCAATGAAGCATAGAATTTTTATAAGAAATATTAAATGGTGAAAATATAGTGTGATATTAAAAAGTTGATTGATAGCGTTTGATTTCGTCAGTTTATAAACTTCCCCTTTTTGAATTTGCCTTGGAGTTCGGTATTATTGTTATATTTTTTACCTATCTTAAAATTGACCACCGCCTACTTTTTGTTAAGAATTCAATGGAACACTCACTTCAAATACAAATATAGTTAAAAAGAAATGTTTAGTTTCTCGTAACATTTCTGAAAACCTCTTTAGTCAGTATTTTGACTGGCATGAAATTACGGATATTGTTTGTTTGAAATTTGCTTTTGCTAAATTTTTAAAATAATATGACTTAAAATATATAGATCAATCATGCACATCTCTGACTTCATTTATAGTTTTGTGATTCATTATTCTATTGTAGTGAAACTTCTCCATTGATTTCAAAGAAGGATATATGTACCTACGTTCTATTCTACATAGCTATATAACTATCTTGTGTTCCATATCAATGCTAAAATTAAATGACATTTTTAAAGAGGCAGCCAGCGATAGCAAGTCTCGAAAAATTAGTTCCATTGGTTCATAAACTGAGAACATGTTTGCCAAATAATGAGTATGTATTTGCTTCACGAACACGTAGCAGTAAATCGAAGTAAAACGTGTCAATTTGCTGCGTTTTAAATTGGTTTCATCTGGAAATCCCATCGCCAAAAATTTAAACTATTAACCCCTTAAAAGGACCTTAAATGTAATTTTTCTTTATTTGATAACAAACGATCTAGCAGGACAAACAGTACGATATATGATACTTCAATTGCGCTCATCCTTGTTTTATTACGTTACATGTTATCCTTTTAGAAAAATCTATACAAGAAAGCAAACCTGCTGAAACAGATCTATCAATGTTGACACTAAATGAACTTTTGCAAACAATGCCTGGAAACAAAATGAAAAATTTCATCCAAAAAGTGACGAAGAAAATAACTTGTAATCAATCGGATCAAGATCTAGGAAAAGAATTACCTGCATTAGACGTGAAGGTATGCAAAGCGTTCAAATAAAATGTATTAGATTTAAAGTTACAGGTGATCTTTGACAGACGTAATTAGATTTAAATTGGATGTCATATGGGTGAATTTGGGCGATTTTGAACCGTAGGCTGAATTGTCCATAGCAGTTATAAAGCTACAGGTGAAGTTTCAAAGAATTATTGTATAACATGTAAGGCAACATGTGATCTTAAGACAGATTTGCCAGTTTTAGATATAAAGCCTCAGGTGACCTTGGACCGAATGACCTGCTTTCAGGTGACAATTGACAACCTTACCGGTTTTTGAGGTAGAGCTACATGAGATATAAGACAGAATAACCTATTGCAGGTGTAAAAATACGGATGACCTTGGACAGAACCAACCATAATTACCTGTATAATATGTAAAGCTACAATTGACCTTGGAAAGCATTATTGTGTTAGATATAAATCTATAGTTGACCTTAGGGAGCATTATTACATAAGATGTAAAGCTACAGGTAACATTAGACACACTCACCTGTATTAGATGTAAAAAGGTTAGCATTAGACGGTTACTTTTATTAGATGTAAAGCTACTATAATCAGGAGTCGGTAATTCAGTGTTTGTTGTTATATATCATTTTTTTTCCTTTATTATTTTGTACAGAAATCAGTCAATTAGTTTTCGCGTTTGAATTGTATTATATTGTCATTTCGGGGCCATTTATCGCTTGATATGGGATATGGATTTTGCTGATCGTTGAGGGCCGTACGGTGACCTATAATTGTTAACTTCTCAGTCATTTTGTCTTTTGTGGAGAGTTGTCTCATTTGCAATCAAACGACATCCTTTTTAGTTTTATATTAGACGGAATGTCCTGTATTAGATGAAGCTACAGGTGACCTTAGAAAGTACTATTAACTTATATGTAAAGCTACAGGTGAATTTAGACAGAACAAGAAAGTATGTAGTTTTTCCCACTCGTAATTCAAAGTAGTACCAGTTAACAAAAAGTAGGTGTCTTTAGGATTGTAAAGTGTCAACACGTTATTACTCATCACCGTAAAGCTGCCTGACAAAATATGAGTCAATTTGCTCAGTAATACTCGAGAAATATGTAATGCAAATTTTCAGTACATTTACACCCCAGTTCTATTGTTATACTTCATAGTTTCTATTTCTGAAACAAGTGTAAATTGAATAGCTCTATTGTTACGATTAACAATGGATCTTGACCACAGGGTGTAACGAGCGGGGTTTCTGGAAACCCCTGCTTCTACATCCCGAAAACACATTCCATTGTTATTCATAACAATAGAAATTGATTATTCTTAAATAGCATGAACATAAGAAATTACTAAAAGTGTTCACTACAAGTTGTTTCAAGAAATTAAAAAAAAAAACATATTTTAGGAAATTCTAATTGCGAAAAAAATATTGATCATCTGTTTTGAATAACAAAAAAAAAAACCCTTCAAATACTCCTTTGCTTGAAGCTAAATTTTTTGATCCCAGTCATACAGCGGCGGATCCAAAAAGGAGGGGGGGGTTCAGTGGTTTAGAACCCCCCTTTTTTGGACGATCAATGCATTTGAATGGGGACATATATTTGGAACCCCCCTTTATTCTTGGTTGGGAACCCCTTTAAAATAAATTGCTTTGCTGGGGCGCAGCTTGATACAACCGCAGAGGTCGAACCTTGAACAGTTGGGGCAAGTATGGACACAACATTCAAGATTGATACAGCTCTGAATTTGGATTGTTATTAAATATTTGACACAGCATAGGTTTCTGACACAGAAAGAATGTGGTCTAAGAACTTGAATTTTTTTAATTTACCTATTATGGTCCAATGTCCAAAATCAAAATACATGGTTAGATTCAGCATATCAAAGAACCCCATATTTTCAATTTTTGTTGAAATCAAACAAAGTTTAATTTTGGACCCCAACTTGGACAAACTTGAAAACTGGGCCCATAATCAAAAATCTAAACACATGTTTAGATTCAGCATATCAAAGAACCCCAATAATTCAATTTTTGCTAAAATCAAACTAAGTTTAATTTTGGACCCTTTGGACCTTAATGTAGACCAATTTAAAAAACGGGACTTAAAATTAAAAATCTAAATACACGGTTAGATTTGGAATATCAAAGAACCCCAATAATTAAATTTTTAATGAAATCAAACAAAGTTTAATTTTGGACCCTTTTGACCTCAATATGAACCAATTTTATAGCGGGGCCCACAAATAAAAAATCTAAATTCATGGTTAGATTCAGCATATCAAAGAACCCCATATATTCAATTTTTGTTGAAATCAAAAAAAGTTTAATTTTGGACCCCAACTTGGACCAACTTGAAAACTGGGCCCATAATCAAAAATCTAAACACATGTTTAGATTTAGCATATCAAAGAACCCTAAGAATTCAATTTTTGTTAAAATCAAACTAAGTTTAATTTTGGACCCTTTGGACCTCAATGAAGACCAATTTTAAAAAATGGGACCCAAATTATAAATCTAAAAACACGGTTAGATTTGGCATATCAAAGAACCCCAATAATTCAATTTTTGATGAAATCAAACAAAGTTTAATTTTAGACCCTTTTGACCTCAATATGAACCAATTTGATAGCGGGGCCCACAAATAAAAAATCTAAATACATGGTTAGATTCAGCATATCAAAGAACCTCATATATTCAATTTTTGTTGAAATCAAACAAAGTTTAATTTTGGACCCCAATTTGGACCAACTTGAAAACTGGGCCCATAATCAAAAATCTAAATACATGTTTAGATTCAGCATATCAAAGAACCCCATATATTCAATTTTTGTTGAAATCAAACAAAGTTTATATATTGGACCCTATCTTGGACCAACTTAAAAACTGGGCCCATAATCAAAAATCTAAACACATGTTTAGATTTAGCATATCAAAGAACCCCAAGAATTCAATTTTTGTTAAAATCAAACTAAGTTTAATTTTGGACCCTTTGGACCTCAATGAAGACCAATTTTAAAAAATGGGACCCAAATTAAAAATCTAAAAACACGGTTAGATTTGGCATATCAAAGAACCCCAATAATTCAATTTTTGATGAAATCAAACAAAGTTTAATTTTAGACCCTTTTGACCTCAATATGAACCAATTTGATAGCGGGGCCCACAAATAAAAAATCTAAATACATGGTTAGATTCAGCATATCAAAGAACCTCATATATTCAATTTTTGTTGAAATCAAACAAAGTTTAATTTTGGACCCCAATTTGGACCAACTTGAAAACTGGGCCCATAATCAAAAATCTAAATACATGTTTAGATTCAGCATATCAAAGAACCCCATATATTCAGTTTTGTTGAAATCAAACAAAGTTTAAATACTGGACCCTATCTTGGACCAACTTGAAAACTGGGCCCATAATCAAAAATCTAAACACATGTTTAGATTTAGCATATCAAAGAACCCCAAGAAATCAATTTTTGTTAAAATCAAACTAAGTTTAATTTTGGACCCTTTGGACTTCAATGAAGACCAATTTTAAAAAATGGGACCCAAATTAAAAATCTAAAAACACGGTTAGATTTGGCATATCAAAGAACCCCAATAATTCAATTTTTGATGAAATCAAACAAAGTTTAATTTTAGACCCTTTTGACCTCAATATGAACCAATTTGATAGCAGGGCCCACAAATAAAAAATCTAAATACATGGTTAGATTCAGCATATCAAAGAACCTCATATATTCAATTTTTGTTGAAATCAAACAAAGTTTAATTTTGGACCCCAATTTGGACCAACTTGAAAACTGGGCCCATAATCAAAAATCTAAATACATGTTTAGATTCAGCATATCAAAGAACCCCATATATTCAATTTTTGTTGAAATCAAACAAAGTTTAAAAACTGGACCCTATCTTGGACCAACTTGAAAACTGGGCCCATAATCAAAAATCTAAACACATGTTTAGATTCAGCATATCAAAGAACCCCAAGAATTCAATTTTTGTTAAAATCAAACAAAGTTTAATTTTGGACCCTTTGGACCTTAACGTAGACCAATTTGAAAACTGGACCCAAAATTAAAAATCTAAATACACTGTTAGATTCGGCATAACAAATAAATAAATGTGATCAAAGATTTTACAAATCTAATGCGCCATACTGTGCAATTAAAGATTACTTCTTGATATTTTTCAATATTTGAAATTTGAAAAAAAAATAATATTTGAAGAATAATTCTTTTTAATTTCTGAAATCTGAAATGAGAAAAAATTGACCCCCCACAATTTCTTTTTATCCCCCCCCCTTTTTTCCCCAAAAAAATTCTTTCCCTCAAGATATGGTCATAATCTCAATTCAAATTTCCAATGGAGTTGGCAACCATAATTACCCATTTAAATTTACCATAGTGCTAACTTAATCTATTTTATAATAGAATTAAAAATATAGTGTCAAATCTTTCATATGGATTTTTTTGTAAAAAAAAAAGATGCAACATTTGCAGATATTTTTACTGGTCTTCCTTTATAAATATGTATTTCTTTAAACATAATTTAAAAGCAGTGTAAGGGAAGTAACCAAAACGTTGTATTTGGATTACCTCCCTTACACTGTTTTAAATTATCTTTATTGTTCATTAACCATTACTTTATACATAATTTAAAAGCAGTGTAAGGGAGATAATTTCAATGATGTATTTGATTTATCTCCCTTACACTGCTTTAAATTATGTTTTGTACTAAAGTATTTGTCCATTAACCAGGACAACCTTGTTTTCCCCCCTTTTTTGCCCCTAATTCCTAAACGGTTTGAGCCATAACCCCCCAAAGCAAATCCTAACCATCCCTTTGTGGTATGGAAACTTGTAGTATAATTTCAGAGAGATCCATACACCGTTCCACAGTTATTGTCTGGAAACTAGAAAATGCTTATTTTTGGCCCCTAATTCCTTAACTGTTGGTACCATAACCCCCAAAATCAATCCCAACCTTCCTGTTGTGGTATTTAACCTTATGGTCAAATTTCAAAAAGATCCATTCACTTAAACTAAAGTTAGAGTGCAAAAACCAATGTGTCTTCGGACGACGACGCCGGACGACGACGACGCCAACGTCATACCAATATACGACCACCAAATTTTTTTGCGGTCGTATAAAAAACGATTATTACTCCCGGACCCCCCCTAAATATTCAATCTGTATTTTTGTATGTTGAGCGTGTCCGGTCGTCGGGTTTCTAATCCAGACACACCTATCCATCAGTATGTCCTGAATATGAATGATTGTTTATTCTTGAAGAAGTGGGGGGGGGGGGGGGGGGCTTTTTTTTTTATAAAACCGTAACACATGAAATATATTCATGATTACCTTCATTAATCTGATACAAGTAAGTACTTTGAATTATAATATTGCCTTTATCTTTAGTCTCTTCTACCAAATACAACGCTTGACCCAAAATGTCGTCCGCCTTATACCCATCCATATTGACAACTGCATACAAGGAGCATGATGTTTTGATTTTTTGTGTAATAAGAATACACGAAACGGTCAACCTTGCCTTGCTGATTCATATTAGCACATTGATTTAACAGGAATATGCAAAGCAGCAATTTTGACATTTGTGAAATCTACTCACTTGTCAAAGTTTAAACGAAGATAGTCAAAGTAAGGTTACTAGAGGGTTTCATCTAAAAAAAAATCTTCTAAATCATGGTTTGATATTGTCAATAAATATGCTGTCCGTTCTTTTTCATTTAATAATCAATGTAAACAAATATAGGGTTTAGCATCAGGTGTAAGTTAGTTATACACCTATCCCTCGGTGTATAACTATTACTTAACATTCGAAGTAACAGAGAACTGGAAGTTGGTAAATGAGAGATCTGAAAACTACTCACACTTTACAACTGGCTGTCAAGCTGTTGACTAAATATAAATTAATTCTGTTCAGTAGTACCTAATAAAAGTGTGACAGAAATATATTTTGAATGAAAGGACAAACGGAAGAATGCACAATACAATACAACCTTCACTCCTAGGGGAGTAGAAATATAATAACATGTAAAGCTACAGGTGACCATGTATAGAATAACCCATTTTAAGTTTGGAGGTTTAGGCAAACTTGGACAGAAGTACCTGTATTAAATGTAAAGCTACAGATGGCTTTAGAAATACCTGTTTTAGATGTAAAAGCTACAGCGACTTTAGATAGCATTACCTGTAATAGGTGTAAAGCTATGTGTGAACTTAGACAGAACAAGAAACGATTGTATCAGGATGCTGTTACTAAGTCTCCCAAAAAAAGTCCCCATAAGTATAAACCCTTAAGGACTCCCCTGTTATTCATTCATTTCTCCGATTTTTTAAAAATGTTTTGTGTAAATGGAAAAAAAAAATTATCAAGGTCAAAGTTATGTGACCATTGACCTTTTGACCTAATGTAGGCCACATGTTCCCTTTGTCATTACTGCAGACCCCATGTGGCTATCCATGTGGTTTCAAGTTATAATCATTTGAAAATAAAAAATATAAAAATCCCATAGGATACTATAGTAAACCCCTCCCTTCTTTTGGCCCCTCAAAGTACCCCTTTATAGACCCCAATGCACAAACAAAACCCTGATGGACCCACTAGACATATATGTCTAACATAATGTGGAACCCTCAGTAAATCTGACAAGTGGTTTTGGAAAACTGCTGTGGGCAAGTTCAAATTTGAAAAAGCTTTGTTTGGGAGACTTAATTACCTGTATTAGATGTAAAACTACAGGTGACCTTAGACAGAATTACCTGTATTGGATGTTAAGCTACTTGCCTGCATCAGATATAAAGCTACATGTGTCCTTAGACAGAGCTGCCTGAATTAGATGTTAAGCTACATGTGACCTTAGACAGAATAACATGTATTAGAAGAAAAGCTACAGGTGAACTTAGATAGAATAACCTGTATTAGATATAAAGCTAATATGACCTAAGTCAAAATTACCTGTATTAAATGTAAAACTACAGGCGACTTCAGAAAGAAATAGCTGAAATTAATTGTGAAACTAGTTGACCTTATAGTATCAATTAGTTCAAAGGTGACCTTTGATAGAATTACATATATAAGATAAAAAGCTAAGGTGACCTCAGACAAAATTACCTGCATTAGACAGAGTTTTATGACTCTGAAAAGAGAATTCCTGATGTATTGTCATGCTACAATAAATAAATCTCAAGTGTTCAAAACTGGTAATCTGTTAAAGTTCTGCTACTACCCAAGTTCCTATACAGAAATGAAAGCGAATCTGACTTTGACAATACCATGAACTTATATTCAGTCAAGTGTAACAGGTTTATTTTCTTCTTCAGAAACTGAATATGATAGTTAAATCCTACACAGATTCAGAGCAAGAAGAAGCCAGTCTGAAATGTTTGGGAGAACAAACCAAATCTGTACCCAACCAAATTCTACATGCTGAACCTAGCCAACCTCAATCTTATGAAAGAAGTTTATCTAATTTGTCTTTTTCAAGAGCTTTCACATTCTCAGTATTTGACCTACCAGATGAATATAGGGAAAAGAATAAACAACTACAAAGAAGAGCATATACTGCTATCAAGTCTCGTTAACAATGGATATTTCAACAACAAAAAATGGAGACAACATTTGAAAATTATTTATTTGAAAATGATGTTTATACCATTAAAACATTATTCTAATATTAAAACCATTCCATACTAATTTTATATTTTTCATATCATTTTGCTTTTATGGAATATCCGTTTCACGGATGACAATAGATATGTTCCAATTGTCATAACTACCATCCTGATCCTGTTGCCTCTCTTTTACATAGTGTAAATTTAGAATTGAGTCAAAAACACAATTTGTTTAAACATGGATTTTTTTAGCATGAATCTTCCAAATGTGTTGTGTGCTGCCAACATAGTACAGCAACACAATTAAATGTCTTTAATCATTCTCTATCTGCATAAAAAAATTTCAACTGTTTTGATTTGATTGGTATGATAAGTCCAATGATGACAAAAAATATGTCTGGCATACCAAATTATAAGCCTGGTATCTGTTATGAGTTAAATCACTGGGTTAATGCCACTACTGGTGCACTTTTGTGTTGACATGAAATATCATTGAGTAGTCAGCACGTTTGTGTTGACATGAAGTATCGTTGATATATTAATTTGATGTAAATTTATTGTTTTTAAATTGTTCAATTATTCAAAATACTAAGGTTTATCCAACACAAGGTATAGATTGCCGTAGCACAACTTTTTGGAATTGTTTGGTAGTAAATGCTCTTCCAAGTTTGTTTTTGATTTGCCCTTCTAACTGTTTTGATTTGAGCATCACTGATGAGCCTGGTATCTTTAAGTTTTCACAATCTGGATTATAAAAATCATCATTTTTTAGGATTTTCAAAACTATTCAATATAAATACCCAAATTTAAGTCAAGGTCAGATTAACTCTTTCAGATCAACATAGACACCTTAGAATGAATTTGCTCCGTGTTTAAAACTTCATTATGACTGAGATGAAAAACAAAAATAAAAGCACTGCACCTTTGCTTCAGGTTTTGTCAGTTAGATGTAGGAGTTATAATGTCCTTATACCAAATACCATTGACTTATTATAAGTCGTTCCATTTAAACAAACCTAAACACAAACATTAACTTGTAAACTTTGTAAAAGTTTCAAAGTCAATGAACCATTATGAGGGGGTGGGGCTATATTATCTCCATGGAAACGATACTTGCAAATGCCAATAAATTTGCATACCAAATATTGACTTCACATTATCAGTTCATCTTAAACTGATCTAATCACAAACTAACACATGTAAACTAAGCAAATGTTTCAAGGTCAATAGACCATGACTGAGGGGGCAGGGCCAAATAATCTCCATGGAAATGATATGTGCCAATGCTTATACAACTGTATACCAAATATCATTGACCTACCACTTGTGGTTCACCATAAACTAGACCTAATCACAAACTAATACATTGTTGATGCCGCCACCACCGACACTGGAAACAGCATACCTATGTCTCGCTTTTTGACTCTGTCAAGGCGAGACAAAAGTACACAATACCTCTTGTGTTCCATTGCATTTTTCCAAGATAGTATGTTTTAGCATTTTTCAGATTTTTTAGTTTAAAAGATTTGCAGTTTTGATTTATATAATTTAGAGATTTAGTTTTACAAAAAAAGTTGAAATCTTCTGCAAGTATCAAAATAGTCCAATAACTTAGCAAGTTGAGGTTACTGCAGAAATTAAGAAACTACCATTATCATCCATAGGTCCTTGAAAATGAGCACAAGACAAATTGACATATGCCAAAATGGAAATTTCAGATCTTTTATACAATATGTGAATAGTCTAGCTCTTCTAGCCTCTGAAATATTAAGCTTTATCAAATAAACTAACACTGTTACCTCACTGCCAAATTAGCATACTAATATCTTGCCTATAGCAACATTTGTCACATTTCTTACAAAAAGCACCTACAACATCTCATCTACTGGTAAGGCAGAGAGTAGAACAGTTTATGTTTGTTTTTTTACATTGTCAAATTCAATGGTCAAGAATTCAAAAAAACCTGTAGCATAATTACTCTTTATATAACTAAATAGAATTCATCATCACAATTTCACGAAGAATGGCTGAAAACTACTCTATAGTGTGTATAATTACACCAAGCATATACAATCACAACTGATTAAGTGGGGTGATTCCTAACAAGCTGAGTGCATGACACATAATTTGATGAGTGACCTTCAACAGATACAGTCTTGCATACATTGTAGGCAACAGGTGTTCTCTGTTTTCCTGAAATAAAAAGATAAGATTTTTTTAATATGTGTCAGCAACAGTTACATCTCTGATGACTTAGAATTTGTTTCACTGATGATATGGTGGATGAGACAGTCACTAACTATGTGTACCCAACAAAGGAACAATTGAGACAATAAACACTAATTTTTCATAAATACCAAGCATATTCTTCATGATTTTGATAATATCATATCAATCATTTCTTTAATGTTAACAGATTTTCAGGGTTATTATCAGATAATGTTAAAATATATAACTATGATCAAATTTTAGTACAACTCTCTAATGGCTGTATTTTTGTTACAGTGTCTTGAGTACAGATTGGTTATTGGCAGTGTACTTTTAACATGCAATCTACTTCATTTTAACTTTGGTGGATAGTTGTCTCATTGGCAATCATACCACATCTCCTTATTTTTATAGAAGACTTGGGGACAAAATAAATCAAATAACAAATTCAGTTTTTTAGTGTCATTGTGTTGTTGTCTCAATGATCCAAATCCCACATCTCCTTCATATTGTAAACTTTATAAATCACAGACATGCAAGACATTATGATACAGTTAATATCTGTCAGGGACCATTCAGTGTTTGTACTTATCTAAAAATTGATGCATCAGGAGATTAGCCTATGATTAAATTTCTCTTAATTTCATACTGATTTTGTCTTATCTATATTACATTAATCTATTGTGTTTGTGTTCTACAATGAGTTTTTAAAAATTAAAATCTCCCTTCTTTTTTCAAGTTATTAAACAAGTCATCTTTGTGCATGTCTTTATTTCTTGACTAACATTCATACCTTTTTACTCTAGTGACTTACCCCTAGAACATGTGTTCTGCTGTAGTATGAACTGAGATGCCTGCTTAAACTGACCAGAAAATTACACACCTACGAAGAATAAGTAAATTTAAAAGAATTTTTTTTTAAATGTAGTTATCTCCATTTTATAAATAGTGATTGTTTTTGAGCTCCTTAAAACAACATCTTCTCACACTCACTATCATTGTTGACATACAAAGTTCTTTGTGGTATATTTCTACAAGTGAATTTAAAAAGGATATAAGATGAAGTTGGCCAGGTAGTATTTACATTCCGGAATTTAGGTTGCTCTTTTGTGTACCCTACTTAAGTCAATGTATCTGAACAGTGTGATTGGACGAAAAATACAGTATCTACTGAACATACTTTCCCAAACTCAGGGATGAATCAGGTGTAGAAAAATATGAAATAATTTTACCTACAGGTGAAAATGAATTTTTAAGAATTTTTTTTAATTTTGTATTCACTGTATAAAAGACCGAAAAGCACTAGTGGCCTTAGGTTTATAAAGATAGCAAAAAAAGTAATTGGTCATCATACATATTCAAATTAATTTCTGAATATTATAATGAAAGTACTTCAGTAAACTGTGTATGTAGAATTTTGGGCAGTGTTCGAAAGTGGTGAAAATTCTAAAAAGGCCATCATTATCTCTATGGGCCAGGAAATACTACCGTGCCACCTGAAAGAGTTACATCAGAAAAAAAGAAGCAGTTACTTGAAAAATTGACAGAAAATACTCAACTTGCTGAACCAGGTTGTCTGTAAGAGATAAGGTATTTTTTCCAATTGACACAATACCTCTTTTACGTATGAGTAAGAGTTGTTTTCAAATGAGAGAAAAAATTTTGTTTATTAATTATTGACAAACATGCACTATAATTCAGATCTTTTAAAGTATCCTAATTATGAAACAATGAAACAAGCACAGCATGGAGTTACAGATTTAAACTGGAGCTTTGTCAATTGAATAGAGTATAATCAACAATAAGACTGCCTTAAAATTCTTTTTACAAGGAAAGTCAAGATAATGCAGTAATAAGTCTTTATCAACAAGAGACAGATGGGCCTGTTCCATCCTTGTTGTTACTGAACAAGCTGTTTGGTCTCCAAAAGAAGTTAGAAATTTAAAATCCATATACGTTAAGTGTAATTGTGTAATATAGAAGCTAACTTTATGAACCAAAGTTTATTTATTTACTTTAAATTTTGTATTATCTTGTCTCAATCACTGGGGGCACTTTCAATTTTACTAACTTTCAATATTTCATGAGGTAACTCTTAAACTACAAGTTTTTTAAGGCTTTAAGTATTGTAACAAAAGTAGAAGGGTAATTGGTCAAAGCAAACTTTAATTATCATCTAAAATACATCTATTTAGATTGAACATATAACCAGATGGAAAGAAAAATCAAAAACTTTTTGTTTTCATTTTTTTTTGCCACGAACCATAAAAAGATTAAATGCCTATCATTACCTTATGACAGTGAATTTTAGAAATTATACTGTCTTCAGGTATGAACTGCTCTGTTGTTTCTGCTATCAGCTCTCCATAAATAAAGATGTAATTGTAAAGTAATTCCCATTCATCCTAAAATACATAACCATTTGATAAGTTGACAAACTTCAAAACTGAACCCCCCCACAAAAAAACAACAACATGAAAATGACTCTTAAATTCCAGCATAGTCAGGGGTAGGAGTTATCTCACCAACATTATCTTGATCATTTACAGGGTTGGTTAAGCAGCTCAAAACTAAAAATTCTTCAAAGTAATAAGGGAAACATTGTATTCAACATAACATAAACTAATAGTTATTTTAATACAAACCTCCTCTCTAAGTGTTGAAAAGTCTAGACTATTAATCTCTGGTAGTGGTGGATATATACCTGGAACATTACAAAACAAAATAATCAAATACTGATGGATACATTAAACAGCTGTAGTCTATTAATGATTTTATGTGCTTGTATTTCCTATAGAGCCATGGATAAAACAATTTTCAAGATGATGAACATTATTAGCAACATATATATACATTTTCATGAAATCTATAGAG